GGATCCTGTCTTGGGGTCATTTGAAATGGTGCAGACTTTACAAAGGGCTGATGGGCAGGTGGGGCTCACTCGGCCTCCAGGTGCAGTCCTCCTTGGGGTCCCTGGCCATCCATGCAGGCAGCAGTCCTGCTCTGTGGATGAGTCCTGGGACCGCTTGTGGCAGGAGGAGGCTGGGTAGGGTGAGTTTGGAGAAAAGTGGCAGGTTTTTGTTAGTGTTTTTTTTTTTGAGATGGAGTCTCCGTCACCTAGGCTAGAGTGCAGTGGTGCCATCTCGGCTCACCACAACCTCCACCTCCTGAGCTCGGGATTCTCCTGCCTCAGCCTCCCAAGTAGCTGGGATTACAGGTACATGCCACCACGCCCAGCTAATTTTTAAATTTTTTTTTATGGAGATGGGGTCTCACTTTGTTGCCCACACTGGTCACCGAAAGAGAGAAGTGTTTTAGAGACTTGAAGAAAGAGCCATAGGTGTGGTCCCTGGTTGCTTGAGAGCTGTGGGTGGAGCTGTTTTCTTCCTGCGGAAGGCTTCAGCTCCCAGACCCAAAATGCAGACACGCTTGGTTTGCTAAGAGCTTTCCCTTCCTGTCTTCCAGGTGTGTCCACACACCCAGGTGTCATGAACGTTTTCTCACATCAAGTGAGCGTCTCAGGAACCCCCAGTCACACCTCGTCTTACCCATCCTGTGTCGCCTGGAACCACACACGGGGTCTAGGGAGCTTAAAAGAACAGAAATGCGTTCTTGGTCTGGAGACCAGAAGTCTGAGATAAGGGTGTGGGCAGGCCCTGGCTCCCTCAGAGACCTTCAGGGGAGGGCTCTCTTGCCCTGCAGCCTCTGGTGGCCTCCAGCCGTCTGAAGCCCATGGCTACATGGCTCCCGCCTCTGACTCCATTGCCGCGCGGCCCTTCCCCCATGTCCTGTGAGGGCTCCAGTAGTGTAGGATGAGGGTCCACCCCAGCGTTCATGACCTCGTCTTACCTGATCACATCTGCAGCAACCCTGTGTCCAACCGAGGTCACATTCCGAGATACACTGGGGCTGAGATTTCAGCTTCTGGGGCTACAGTTCCACCCGCTAACACTGGTGAACTGCGATCTGTGAGACTAATCTCTGGTGTTCCCAGTTCCCAACCACAGTTGTAAACTTGCATATTTAATGGGTTATAAGCCGCTGGGATTCTTTGCTTAGGATGAACTCCTGCACGTGGAATTGCTGAGCCATGAATTTTTTTTTAAGTGACAGGGTCTCACCTGCTGCCCAGGCTGGAGTAGTGGTGTGATCATGGCTCACTGCAGCCTCCGTCTGGCCTCAAGCAGTCCCCCTGCCTCAGCCTCCTGGGTAGTTGGGACCACACACGCACACCACCACACCTGGTTTTGTTTTTAGGAGGTGATGTCCTGCTGTGTTGTCCAGGCTGGTCTGGAACTCCTGGCTTTAAGCAATTTTCTAGTGATGGATGTTGTTTTTCAGACGGAGTCTCATTCTTTCACCCAGGCTAGAGTGCAGTGGCGGGATCTCAGCTCACTGCAACCTCCGCCTCCCAGGTTGAAGTAATTCTCCCACCTCAGGCTTCTCCCACGTAGCTGGGACTACAGGTGCCTGCCACGTTGCTAGGCTAATTTTTGTATTTTTAGTATTGGCTAGGCTGGTCTTGAACTCCTGGACTCATGATTCACCCTCCTTGGCCTCCCAAAGTGCTGGGATTACAGGTTCGAGCCACCATGCCCAGCCCCAGGATTGCCTTTTAAGGTAGGGTAGCTGCACTTTCACTAAAACGGAGGTTTGCAAACTGCAGCCCATGGATGGAATGTGGACCACCTGCCGTTTTTTAAACCCATGAGCCAGGAATGGGTTTTATAATTTTAAGTGGTTTTTTTTTTTTTTTAAAGAATATTTCATGACATGAAAAATTGTATGAAATCAGGTGTTGATGAATAAAGTTTTATTGGCACACGGCGTGCACATCTGCTTGCATGCCAGGGCTGAGCGGCTGTGACAGCCCCATATGGCCCACAAAGCTGAAAAGATCTGCTGTGGGGCCCTTTACATAATACATCTGCTGATGCCAGCTCCGAACGTCTATATTTGCATTCAAACTGGTTTCAACGATAAAAGTGCAGTGAATTCAGCTGGCCCTGTCAGAGTGGTCATTGCACCTGGAATGTGGCATTTTTCCCAGGTGTTGCATGCTTGTGCAGCTGAAGGTGGTAAAATGGGCAGGGCCCCAGGCAGGCATCTTCACTGCACTGATGTCTTGGCTGGTGCTTGGAGCACCTGAGTCTGCAGGGAATATGTCCCTAGAGAGAGAAGACAGGCAGGGCGGAGGGGCGGAAGGGCAGAGGAACAGAGGGGCCGGGGGTGTGGAGGGGCAGAGGGGTAGGGAGGCAGGGGGCGGTGGGGAGTGGAGGGGTGGAGGGGCAGGGGTCGGGGAGAGGAGGGACGGAGAGGCGTTGACTGCCACCAGGCTCCTGCTGAGGTGGGCGCTCAGGGAGATGCTGTGGGGGACCTCATCCTGGCTGGAGGATCTGAGGAGAGCCAAAGCCCCAGGCGGTGCTGGGCTGCCAGGGTAGATGCCCTCTTTTCTTCTAGAGCAAAATCCTGGTCCACTGCCTGTTTAAAAGTACTTTTTTCAACAGTCCACATAGCAAAGTTTAAAGAATCTTGCAGGAAGCCCGCCCCTGCCCTTCCGAGGGGTCTGCCGTGGACATTTGCTGTGCTGGCACTGTCACACCTAGTGTCACCCTGGCCACCATGCTCCCTTTCCTGTGCTCACCCACCCTCTTGCTTGAGGTTTTTAGAAAATACACAATGTAAAAGTGACCATTAGAGCCACCTTCAAGTGCACTGCTCAGGCAGTTATTTCCAGTGTTCTGTGTCCATCACTGGTTCCTACTTCCAGAACATTCCATCCCAAGGAGAAACCTGTACCCACCAGCAGGCACTCCCCTGCACCCACCCCAGCCCCGGAGAGACACTCAGCCGCCGCAAGCTCTGTGGACTGGGCTGTTCCAGGTGCTTCCCATGAGCGAATCACAGACTGTGTGGCCTCGTGTCTGCTCCTTCCCTCACGTGAAGCTTCCCAGGTCCCTGCATGGTGTGGAGTATTGGCGCACTGTTCCTTCTGATGGCTGGGTAGCGTGACGGGTACAAGCATGAGTTTCCCGAGACGTTACACATTACCACAGGCCAGGTGGCCTGAGACAGATGTATTCTTGCTGGGTTCTGGAGGCTGGACGTGCCGATCAAGGTATCAGCCGGCTCCTCCCTCTGGAGGTTCTCGGGGAGGGTCCTTGCTGTCCCCTGGCTGGTGGCTGCACCACTGCAGTCTCATCCCTGGCCTTCACGCAGCCTCGCTGCTCCGTGTCTGCGTCTGTAACTCCTGCCCTCATAAGGGCCCAGTCATAGGATTGAGGCCCACCCTGGCCCAGCGTGGCCTCATCTTAGCTCATGACACCTGCAAACACCCTACTTCCAAACGCAGCTGCACTCGTGTATTACACACACGTCACACTTTGTCATCCACCCATGGGCGCTTTGGGTGCTCCTGCCTTTTGGCCACTCAGTCACGCTGCCCTGGATGCACGTATGCAGGTCTGTGTGCGGATGTACGTTTCAGTCTCTTGCGTGTGTGGCTGGGAGTGGAATTTCACTTGATCATTAGGCTTGGGTTTTGGGGGACGGTGACCAGTTGATTTTGAAATCTAGACCTGTACAGCAGATATATGAGGGCTTCTGCATTGACAAGGAAAACAGATGTGCGTGTTAAGGGTCTGGCTCCCTGGGAGCACACAGGTGCTGGTGTCAGCATGGAGGGGGCAGGCGGGCGGATGCATTCCCCATGTGAAGACCAAGCAGAGGTGGAGGTGACATCCAGAGTAGCAGCCCCATGGCACACGCACAGGTGATGCTGGGGTTTGGCTGAGCTCTACTGCTGGAGGGTATAGGGTGGCACTGGCTCCCACTGTCCTGACACGCTCTTGGCACCACGGGCAGTTCCCCAAGCCAGAAGCACCATGTGCAGAAGGAGCTCATTCCTCCTCTCCATGCTCTTCCTGCAGATGGGGTGGGGCGACCTCGGGGTATATGGAGAGCCCTCCAGAGAGACCCCGAATTTGGACCGGATGGCTGCAGAAGGCACGCTTTTCCCAAACTTCTATTCTGCCAACCCCCTGTGCTCGCCATGTAAGTCAGTGCAGCCATCACCCCCAAGGAGGGGGTGAGCCCAGCAGGCTAAGGCCTCCCGTGTCCTTGCAGCCCCGACTCTGGTGGCCACATCAACCTTGTCTACCCCTGAGAGGTGCAGGGAGGACGACAAGTGGGCTCAGGCCTTTCTCACTGGTCCCTGCCTGGCTCGGCATAACGTGGGCTCAGGCTTTTCTCACTGGTCCCTGCCTGGCTCGGTGTCACGTGGGCTGCAGCACCCGCCAGGTTTTCGGGGTCGAAGTTGCTGTGTTGTTGGCGGCTGCTGCTGTCTGTTCCCAGAGTTGGGTGTTGTGCCCCCCTGGGGAGAGGCGCTGAAGCGTGGCTCTATCTTGGGGTACCTGCGAAGCAGGGGTCCCACTCCCTCCCTCCCTGTGGAGAGTCTCCTGCGGGAGACAGAAACACGTGGTACTGATCGTGAGGAAGAGGGGAAAGCAGGGCACGGGGCCAGTGCTCAAGGTTGGGGGGAATGTGGACCTGCACGCCCAGCGGGTGTCCCGGGGTCAGCACACGAGGACAGGGCCATGCGGACCTGCACACCCAGCAGGTGTCCGGGAGCCTGGGAGAGCAGGCGGGGCCTTGGGGACGACGCTGAGCCACAGCACCCATTTCAGTGCAGTGGGTGCTGTGCCCCCTGGGTGGTAGAGACACTGACAGGATTGACAGGTGTGACAGCCCCTCGTCACCTGCACTTGCCTCATCAGTCAAGTATCTGTCTACCCGGCGGGGCTCTTGCTGATGAGAGTGTGGGTCTGAGTGTCACGCTTCTCATCCTGTTCTGTTTCTGTCATCTGCACGTAGCCAGGGCGGCGCTGCTCACGGGACGGCTTCCCATTCGCAACGGCTTCTACACCACCAACGCCCACGCCAGAAACGGTAGGCTGCCCACTGCCGCCTCCAGGGCTGAACTTCAGGTGCAGGGTTGGGCCAGTGTCTCCTGCCCGCTCTCCTGTGTGGCCTGGGTTCTGTGGAGCAGTACCTGGTAGCCAGGGAGCCACACTTCATATCTGCTGTGACAGACGCCTTTAAGCAGATGGCTGCACCTCCATCAGGGTCACCTGCACCCTGCCTGGCAGGCGAGCAGCAGGCAGGGTGCACGTGGTGCCAGGGCCTCCGGGAGTCGGGGGGAAGTGTAGGCTCCCCCTGGCTGGTTTCCTTCCTTGCCCTGATCCAGTGAGGACAGAGTGGAGGGTGCCCAGTTCAGTGTAAGGAGCTGGGTCTGTACCCTCGCCCCAGAAGCTCCTCTGCTCCCCAGAGGGTGAGCTGAATGGCCATGGGGAGGCTGGAGCTGTGGCGTCAGTGGCAGTTCTGGAATGCTCCGGAATCGCTGTGTTCAAGGGGTTTGGATGGGATCCCCAGGGTATCGCACGGGGGAAGTGGGATTTCCAGTGGCCTTTGAGGAAAGGGAAGGACAGGGGATGCCTGGGTGAGGCAGTACAGCATCACGTGGTATGTTCAAGTCCCTGGAGACCAGGTGGGAGGGAGGCCGGCCTGAGAGGCAGGGTGGGGCCTGAGGCTGGGCCAGAGGCCCAGGGAAGGCGCTGGGGGCAGAGAGAGTCCACCCCGTCCCGCCCCCGGTGATGGCACCGACTCTGAAGGCTGCCTGGGAAAGTCCTGGGAGCACCAGGCTCTGTGGCTGCACAGCCCCGGTCACAGCCTTTTACCCCGAGGGGCCAGGCCCTGTCAGGATGAGGAGTGGTAGCTTCTCGGGGTCTGCCCAGGGCTCACTCCGTGCTGCTCTTCCAGCCTACACACCGCAGGAGATTGTGGGCGGCATCCCAGACTCGGAGCAGCTGCTGCCAGAGCTTCTCAAGGAGGCCGGCTACGTCACCAAGATCGTCGGCAAGTGGTAGGTCTCCAGCCACGCCCGCCCGGGCATCCTGCACCACCCATTTCTGGCCTTGGTCACAAGGGATGTGGCTGCAGGTTTCCACACCAGGAAGGCTTCTTGGGTGGGAACAGAAGCTGAATTCGGGGGTGTTCCGGTGTCGCCAGTGCCCCAGCACAGCGCCCCAGCAGGGTCTCAGGTCACCAGGCCAGGCCCACTGCCACTGCCCCTGGCTGTCTCGTGCCACGTCGTCCCTGGGAGGGCCACATCATTACAGACAGGAGCCATGGCACGGGAGATGCCTGTCCACCGCGGGCACCTGTTTGATGCTGGACGCTCTGCTCTAAACTACAGAGAGGCCACAGGAAGGAGAGGAACTGCCCAGCAGTTGATGAACTCCTACCTGGTGAGAGCCTGGGAGCTACACAGCATCCCGGGCCGCCGTTTCAGGCACACGGGACATTTCATTTCTTCTGCTCCCTGGGACGCCCAGTGAGCCTGGAGGGTTGGGTCCGAGTCACATGGCCTGCATTTCTCTCCATCTGTTGGAGCATTCACTGCCTGTCAGGCCTGCGTGCCCCTTCTCCAGGAAGCCCACTTGTTTTCCCACCTCTGTCCTCCCTGTCTGCTGCCTGCAGCTCCTGCCAGCCCCCTTCGATGGCTGCTTCTGGGATGTAGATAGTCACAGCAGCTGGAATTTGCTGAGACTGATAGAGGAGGACCCAGAGGCTGCCTAGGGAGTGCTTTGTCACATTTCAGACGAGAGGAAGCAGCATGGGGAGCTGAGCGCTCAGAAAGCACAGGGCAGAGCATGCATGCTCATGTTTTAGCTCATCGGTGCCGGTGGCCAGAGCTGGAAAGGGAGCAGGTCTCCAGAGAGGCCTCAAGGCTCCCAAACAGCCATCAGTAGGAGAGAGGGGACCCTGAGGTCTGGGAGCAGGAACCAGGCAGGCCCTAGAGCCACAGCTCCTCCTGGGCTCAGGAAACAGTACAATGGCTGGGTGGCTGGGCCAGGTTCCTTCCGGGTTCAGGACAGGGTACGGTGGCTGGGTGGCCCAGGGTGGGGGCTCTTCCTAGGCTCAGGACAGAGTATACTGACTGGGTGGTCCGGGCTGGGTTCCTCCTGATGGCCAGACCAGGTCCTGCAGTGGCTGCTCAGGCAGGTCGGGGGGTCCCCATCCCAGCAGGGTCCCCTCTCAGGGCAGTGTAGTGTTGTCAGCCATGACTCAGACTTCTTTGCAGCACCTCACCTGGCCTCAAATAGAAGCTGCTTGATCTGCCTGAAACCACGCGGGTGCACAGTGCAGGCGCGCGAGTTCCAGAGCCCTGTGGACGCTCCCTGCTCCAGCTCACCTGCTGGCAAGGGCCAGGCCTCACTGCTGCTTCGGAACAAGCGTGTGGAGCCCACAGCATAGTCCGTGTAGGGTCCTGCTTGTGTGTTTCCCCTAAGCAAGGCCTTGTGCTGGTGGACATGGACACACACATGCCCTGCAGCTGGCTGGTGGCCTGCCTGGGTGTTCAGGGATGATGGGGGCTCTAGCATTGAGCCCAGATGCTGAAGACGTGAAGGAAACAGCCCTAAGTCGGCAGCCAAAGGAGCTCTGAGGTCACGGAGAGGTGCAGGTGGCTTCGCCTGAGAGAGGAGACGGAGGAGCAGCTTGTCGCAGAGTACGTGTCCAGGGAGGCTGCTGGCACAGAACCAGCCAGGGCCTCAGCCATAGCCATGCCAGCCTCCTCCTTCACAGGCGGGGAAACCGAGGCCCAGAGTGGGCTCCGTCCAGCCTCCACCTCCTTCCAGCCCAGACTTCCTTCAAGGCCCCCTCCGACCCTCCCCAGCCAGTGACATGTGGGTGCATGGTGACCTGAGACCCGTGTGACTGTGCAGGGTCCCCCATGAGCGCTCAGGCTGGGCCCTCCTGCCGCCCTCCACCAGGTGGGCTCACATGAAGCTTAGACGTCTTCTTTTGGGATGAAGCCTTCCAGGCTGTAGCTGCAGACCTTCCTCAGATGACATGCGAGTGACGAGGTGGGGGGCCACCCACGGCCGCGCCTCAGCACCACGCTAGAAGCGGCCTTATGCCAGCTCTCCTGCAGCATGTTCTGAAGAGCAGCTGTGAGCTGGACTTCTTCCAGGCCAGGCCAGGCCATGCAAGGAAACCCGGACAGCTGGCCTCGGGGCTGGGGCGAGTGGGCACAGAGGTGCGGCCTGCAGGGCTGCTGTTGGCTGGAGGACACGAGATTAGATGCCCCCAGAGGGAAGGCGCGTGTGGGTGGGGCAGACGCAGGAGGTCTGAGGGGGTCATCAGATGGGGGGTGCAGGGCAGGGTCTGGAGGGTTCTGGCAGTCCTGGGGTGTGATGCCTGCCGAAGGCCATTCTGAGCAGGGGAACCTTGGTCCCAGGAAAGCAGTTGGTGGCAGTCACCAGCACGACCACACTGCCACGTCCTCTTGTCATCATTCCAATCTCTGCTTCTGACCGCGCTCTGGGAACCTAGGTGCAGCTGGCAGGCCCCAGGGCTCCCACAGAGCCACACCACACCCGTCGTCCTGGCAGCCGTCACCCTGAGCTGGGAGAATAGACTGCTTTGGTGTGGAGAAACCCAGTAATTATCTGCAGGAGATGTTTTCTGCCATGGAAAACACAGAGGAGAAACACTTGTGTTCCAGACACAACTCACAAAGCATTCCTGGGAGTTCAGAAAAAGTGGAAGGAGCCTGAATCTGGAGCCAGGGCCGAGAGTGGCATGCCAGGCGGGTTCCAGGGGCCAGGGAGGCTCCTCAGGATGTGCCAGCCTTCACAGTGCAGGGAACCCTGGCTGCCACCATGCCTGGGACCCTTGGTTGTGCCCAGCCATTCTGCAGGGCAGGCGAGCAGTGCCAGCACCGTCCTGAGAGTGAGGCCTTGGTCTCCTATCCTTGCTGTGCCCAGACAGCTTTCTCGGGGCTGGAGGGTGCTTGTCTTACCAAGAATTTTGTGCAGATGGTGGATTTGTCACTGCTTAGAACCTTAGAGTGTCCCCACGTGGGATCCCTGACATGTCCTGGGTCCTGTTTCTAGGCATCTGGGTCACAGGCCCCAGTTCCACCCGCTGAAGCATGGATTTGATGAGTGGTTCGGGTCCCCCAACTGTCACTTTGGACCTTATGACAACAAGGCCAGGCCCAACATCCCTGTGTACAGAGACTGGGAGATGGTCGGCAGGTAACGGGCCCTGCTCCACCCCTTCCCTTCCCGCACCCTGAACCGCAGTGCCTGGTGCACCTGCTCCCTGCCCTGCGTCTGGCATTGTTGGCCTCAAGCCACCTGCTCACAAGGGCTGGGCCGGGCCGGGTCTGGAGGGCTTCGTTTTGGCGGCCTCTGTCCCACAGAGTTTTGCTGCAGAGTCTGTGAGACTTGCGCCTGGGGTGGCTTCCAGCCGTCTCAGAGTCGTAGATCACTTTGACTGTCCTGACAGTGGAAGACCCCCAGCACAGTAAGCCCGCGCCATCTGCACTCGCTGCCGGGGTTCTGCCCATGTGGTCCATGGGTGGGGAGGCCGGCTGTGCTCTGGACGTCCAGGGATACAGGCAGGACAGGAGGTGGGGTGAAACCCCCACTGTGAGCCACAGCGGGAGCAAGCTGCTGTCCAGACGGAGCCATCCTGGTGCCTGGGTGTGGGGCAGTGCCTGGGTCAGGGACCCTCATCTTTTGTGAATTTCATTTGGCTTAACTTGACTCTTCTTTATTTTTTTTTGAGACAGAGCCTCACACTGTCACCCAGGCTGTAGTGCAGTGGCAGGATCTTGGTTCACTGCAGCCTCCACCTTCCAGGTTCAAGCAATTCTCCTGCCTCAGCCTCCCAAGTAGCTGGCACTACAGGCGTGTGCCACCACACCCAGCTAGTTTTTGTATTTTTAGTAGAGATGGGGTTTCACCATGTTAGCCGGGATGGTCTCGATCTCTTGACCTCGCGATCCGCCCGCCTCGGCCTCCCAGAGTGTTGGGATTACAGGTGTGAACCACTGCACCTGGCTACCTTGACTCTTCTTGACGGAAGCGCTCATTCATTACATGACAGTGGAGCAGCGCAGCACCAGCTTGCTGCCTTGTCTGGACAGAGCTCCGTGGGGGTATGGGAGTCCCCACCGCTGTTTGAAGTGTGCAGTTCTGTGGTTTGCAGTAGGAGGAGGCTGGGATAGCCAGCACTGCAGCCTGAGCCATCACTCCCCAGTCCCAGCCCCGAGTGACCACAGCCGCCTCAGTGCCTTCACCCTAGAGTCGCACCCACTGTCCCGTCCTCCCGTCTTCCCCCAGGCAGGTTATTACAGCACCGACCTCAGCCAGGTCATCAGATGCAAGACTGTGCCCTGGGGAGCAAGGCCCGTGTCCGGCTTGCTCTGTCTCCTGAGTGGACATTTCATTTCCAGCCTTCTTTTTCCCCCCTTCCCCAAAATTGAGTCTTGCTCCGTCACCCAGGCTCGAAAGCAGTAGCATGATCTTGGCTCACTGCAGCCTCCACCTCCCGGGTTCAAGTAATTCTCCTGCCTCAGCCTCCTAAGTACTTGGGACTAGAGGCGCCTGCCACCACACCTGGCTAATTTCTGTATTTTTAGTAGAAACGGGTTTCAACATGTTGGCCAAGCTGGGCTCAAACTCCTGGCCTCATCATCTGCCCTCCTCAGCCTCCCAAAGTGCTGGGATTACAGGCATGAGCCACCGTGCCTGACCCCAGCCTTTGCCGGTAAAGTCAGGGAGAAGGGGACTTCCGTGGCCTAAGTTCTGACGTCTGTCTGGATCTGTGTTCTCTTCAGATATTACGAAGAATTTCCTATTAATCTGAAGACCGGGGAAGCCAACCTTACCCAGATCTACCTGCAGGTGACGGGACTACACCACCCACGCTCTGTGGGAGGCGTGGGGAGGTGGCCTCAGGCCGGAGGAGGACGGTGCGGCTCTCTCCACAGGAAGCCCTGGACTTCATTAAGAGACAGGCGCGGCGCCGCCCCTTCTTCCTCTACTGGGCTGTGGACGCCACACACGCGCCCGTCTATGCCTCCAAACCCTTCCTGGGCACCAGTCGGCGAGGGCGGTGAGTCCCGACTCCAAGAAACAGACTGGCTGGAGGCCCCAGCTGTGCTTGCCTGCAGGATGGGGCACTCAGTACCCTGGCGTTTAGTTCCAATCATGGAAAGGCCAGAACAGCCCTGCGCCTTTGAAGCCATCTGCTGGCCTGGGCTCAGTGGAGGAGGGCTGCGTTGGGTGTGCTTTGTCCTTCATAAGCCACGTGAATTTGAACTCAGGCCTTTCCTCTTGTTCTGGGAAGTGGCAGGCAGTTTCACTGTCTGTGACGTTACGATTTAAGGCACTCCGTGAATCACAGTATGCCGCCGGCCGCCTGATCCGTCTGTCACCATCCCCCCAGGTACGGAGACGCCGTCCGGGAGATGGACGACAGCATTGGGAAGATGCTTCAGCTTCTCCAGGACCTGCGCATCGCGGACAGCACCTTCGTCTTCTTCACGTCGGACAATGGCGCCGCCCTCATTTCTGCTCCCGAGCAAGGTGAGCGCTCACCGCCGCTTCCCATGGTTTCCTCGAAGCCAGCATGTGGCTGAGAACGCCTGGACTGGCTGCGACCTGCAGGGTCTGTAGTGGGCGGAGCTTGAAGGTCCCTCCAGGTCCAATGTGACGAGCAGATGTCACCGAGCCTCAAGTGAGGCCAGTGGCCCTTCCAGCCCAGTACTAACCTGGAAGTAGCGGGAGTGGCTTTGAACTTGGGGGCGGGGAGGAGGTGACAGGGGAGAAAGTTTGTCTTGGAAGAGGTTTACACCTCCCGAGGGGTGACCCCGGAGACTAGACGCTTTGGAGCCTGGGTGGAGAAGCAGGGCCAGTGGAGCGGGGTGTCCCTGCAGAGATGGGGGCAGGCACCCAAGACCCAGAGCAGCCCTGCGAGTTTTGCCTGGGCCTGGTCACCCAGGGGCCAGGGCCTGAGCCATGAAGGTGGCTCCTGCCCCTGCCACGGCCCTCAGCCTGTCTCCCACTCAGTACTGAGGAACGCCTGACCCATCCCCAGCACCATCCTGAACTCGCCTCTTCCCAGACCATGAGGGGGGTCCCTGCAGTCCAGTGTCCTTCGGGGAAAGGGTGCTTCAGGGTTTCAGGTGATAGAAACCAGCACAGCTGAAAGCCAAGACAGAAATGTGTTGGCCCCAGAGCAGCGCCCACGTGGCCGGCCAGCCAGGGGCTCCCTCGTGCCACGTCCCACCTGACAGCTCCCCTAGACGAGCTTGGCTCTCACGCAGACCCTCCAGACAGCTCCATCTCCCACCCACTGGAGTCAGACCCACAGGTCGAGGCTCCCATGGGCTGCAGGCAGCTCCCAGGAGGGAGGGTGGTGGGTGGCAGGGAGGGTGCTGGGGGGGGAGAGTGGTGTTGGCTGTCATTCCCCATGGGGAGCCTGGGGAGGTCCCACCTCGTCGCCAGCACCCACAACCACCAGCCAGCAGTGTCGAGTGCTCCAGCCACCTTCGTCTTTGTTCTTTAATGGTGGAATATTTCAAACAAACAAAAATGGCCTAAGGCCAGGCGCAGTGGTTCATGCCTGTAATCCCAGCACTTTGGGAGGCCAAGGCAGACAGATCACCTGAGGTCAAGAGTTCAAGACCAGCCTGACCAACATGGAGAAACCCTGTCTCTACTAAAAATGGAAAAATTAGCCGGGTGTGGTGGCGCATGCCTGTAATCCGAGCTACTCGGGAAGCTGAGGCAGAAGAATCACTTGAACCCGGGAGACGGATGTTGCCGTGAGCCAAGATTGCGCCACTGCACTCCAGCCTGGGCAACAAGAGTGAAACTTAGTCTCCAAATAAAAAAAGAAAAGAAAAACAGAAACGGCTTATGTACCAATTTGTAGTAAGATGAGAACCCACACATCTAGCACCCAGCTTAAGACTAGAAGCAGGACATCTGAGAGAAACGAAGTGGGGGAAGAAAGGAATGAAGGAGGGAGCGAGAGGGGAAAGAAGGGAGAAGCACAGCGGCCTCCCATAATCCCTGGCTGTCCCCCGGAAATGGCCGCTGTCCCCAGTTGAGTGTCCTCTGTCCCCTGATGGGTTCTGTGGCTCTGCTGCTGCAGGCAGGGCCCTCCCTGAGCCAGGCCAGGTTCTGGGCATGTTCGCCTGTAAGGGACACAGAGCTGCCCTCAAGGCTCCGTCCAGAGCCTTCCCACGCTGCCACTAGGATGGGGGTGGGCTGGTGACGCGGGAAGGAGCTGCAGTGACTCAGCCATCCCGGGTGCTTCCATTTTTCACTGCCAGAAAAATACTTTCTGTTTCTTTTTTTGGAGACAAGATCTTGCTCTGTTGCCCAGGCTGGAGTGCAGTGGCGTGATTTCGACGCACGGCAGCCTCGACCTCCTGGGCTCAAGCGATCCTCCCACCTCAGCCTCATGAATAGTGGGGACTACAGGGCGTGCCACCACACCCAGCTAGTTTTGTGCTTTTTGCAGAGGGGGGGTTTAGCCATGGTCTCCCCTTAGTAGACCAGTCCAAGCTAGTTTTGAACTCTCAGGTTCAAGCCGTCCGCCTGCTTTGGCCTCCAGGGTCCTGGATTGCAGGTGTGAGCTGCCGCAGCTGGCCCCCTTCGTTTCTTTCTCCCCTTTTTCCTGGGGACTCAAAGGCGAGAGCCTCAGATGGCTCAGGCTACCACAGCAGGGGTGACTTTTGTCCCTCTGACTTGGGCCCCCCAACCCCTTCCTCTGTCTGGGAGTGAGCTGGGGATGGTGTGGTCACCAGGGCTGGGGTCTTTGTCCTGTGACCACTTCCCACAAGTGATAGTTTAGGGACCAAAATCCAGTCTTGGGGGCTTGTCAGAAACACACATTCCTGCACCCCACCCTGGTCACCTGAGTCAGAGCCGTGGGGGGGCAGGAGTTGCCTGCATTTTAGGCAGAGAACCCCAAACAGGCACCAGCGCCCGGGGCTCTGCTGCGGGAGTGTGTTTCTAAGTCCTCACAGGCTTCCGTTTCCGTTTCGTCCCTGGGCGCGACGCCCCACTTTCTCCAGGAGACTTCGCGGCCGCAGCATCAGGCAGTGGCACGATCTCGGCTCACTGCAGCCTCCACCTCCCAGGTTCAAGCCATTCTCCTGCCTCAGCCTCCCCAGTAGCCGGCATTACAGGCGCGCACCCCCATGCCCAGCTAATCTTTTGTATTTTTAGTAGAGACGGGGTTTCACCTTGTTGGGCAGGATGGTCTCGATCTTCTGACCTCATGATCTGCCCCCTTGGCCTCACAAAGTGCTGGGATTACAAGTGTGAGCCACCACAACCAGCCAAGGCTCAGACTTTGCACTGGAGCTGGAGTGCCCTATGTCCCCACTGAGTCTCAGTGACTCAGTGTCACCTGGGGACGGAGGGAAAGGGCTTGGCGAGGTCAGGTCCCAGTGGCCTGACTTGCAGCCTCTCTCTCAGGTGGCAGCAATGGCCCCTTTCTCTGTGGGAAGCAGACCACATTTGAAGGAGGGATGAGGGAGCCTGCCCTCGCATGGTGGCCAGGACACATCGCCGCAGGCCAGGTGAGTCAGCGTCAGCCTGTCTGCTGGGCGGCAGGTCCAGGCCTGTGGTCATCCTAGGGTGCGAGCCCCTCACTGCCCAACTCCCCAGGCACCCCCATTCTCAGCCATACTACTCTCCACCCCCCACTCACCCCATGCTCATCTTCACCACTCTCCACCCCCACTCACCCCATGCTCATCCTCACCACTCTGCACCCCCACTCACCCCATGCTCATCCTCACCACTCTCCACCCCCGCTCACCCCATGCTCATCCTCACCATTCTCAACCCCCCCACACACCCCATGCTCATCCTCACCACTTTCCACCCCCCCACTCACCCCATGCTCATCCTCACCATTCTCAACCCCCCACTTACCCCATGCTCATCCTCACCATTCTCCACCCCCACTCACCCCATGCTCATCCTCACCATTCTCTACCCCCCACTCACCCCGTGCTCATCCTCACCACTCTGCACCCCCACTCACCCCGTGCTCATCCTCACCACTCTCCACCCCCTCCACACCCTATGCTCATCCTCACCACTCTCCACCCCCACTCACCCCGTGCTCATCCTCACCACTCTGCACCCCCCCACACCCTATGCTCATCCTCACCACTCTCCACCCCCACTCACCCCATGCTCATCCTCACCATTCTCCACCCCCCCACTCACCCCATGCTCATCCTCACCACTCTGCACCCCCACTCACCCCGTGCTCATCCTCACCACTCTGCACCCCCACTCACCCCGTGCTCATCCTCACCACTCTCCACCCCCCCCCACACCCTATGCTCATCCTCACCACTCTCCACCCCCCCACTCACCCCATGCTCATCCTCACCACTCTGCACCCCACCACTCACCCCATGCTCATCCTCACCACTCTCCACCCCCCACTCACCCCATGCTCAGCCTCAGCACTCTCCACCCCCTACTCACCCCATGCTCAGCCTCAGCACTCTCCACCCCCAACTCACCCCATGCTCATCCTCACCACTCTCCACCCCCCACTCACCCCATGCTCAGCCTCACCATGGTGGTGCCCCCAGCTCTGTTGGGTGGAGACCACAGTGGTGGCCCAGGCTTTTGGACTAGAGACCCTGGTGGTGAGCTGGGCTCTGACTGGATGAGGGTGCATCCTGGCATCTCAGCCTGGCCACCTTCCTGCTGTGTGCTGTGTGTCCCCCAGCCCACGAAGCTGCCCCTTAGCCGAGAATCACAAGGCAGTCGTCTGTAACGGAGGCACTTGATCCCGACACGCCCTTAGACACATGGGCCACTGAGTCCGAGGTGTGTGGCGAGCGCTGTTTCTCAGTCAGTCCGTTGTCCTCCCGATACCTCCGGAGGCAGCTGGCACGTTACACAGGACGACAGCCAGGGTCGACATGGGGCTTGTGGGGCTGAGTGACGACGTGTGTGGGGCCAGGTCCTTCTGGAGGCTCCAGGAGAGTCTGTTCCGTGTCTTTTCCTAATCCCAAGGACCACCCATTCCTGAGCTCCTGGTCCTTCCGCCTTCGAAGCTGGCAACATGCATCTGTCCCTGGCCTTCCTGCTCCACCTCTTTTTTTTTTTTTTGAGATGGAGTCTCACTCTGTTGCCTGGGCTGGAGTGAAGTGGCACGATCTCAGCTCCCTAAACCCCCTGCCTCCTGGGTTCACGCAGTTCTGCGTCAGCCTCCCGAGTAGCTGGGACGACAGCCACTTGCCACCACGCCCGGCTAATTTTTGTGTTTTTAGTAGAGACAAGGTTTCGCTGTGTTGGCCAGGGCGGTCTCAAATCCCAAAGTGCTGGGATTATAGGCTTGAGCCGCCACGCCCAGCCCGTTCCCCGTTTTTTTTTTTTTGAGACGGAGTTTCGCTCTTGTTACCCAGGCTGGAGTGCAATGGCACGATCTTGGCTCACCGGGACCTCCACCTCCTGGGTTCAGGCAATTCTCCTGCCTCAGCCTCCTGAGTAGCTGGGACTACAGGCGCGCACCAACATGCCCAGCTAATTTTTGTATTTTTAGTAGAGATGGGCTTTCACATTGTTGACCAGGATGGTCTCGATCTCTTGACCTCGTGATCCACCCACCTCGGCCTCCCAAAGTGCTGGGATTCCAGGCTTGAGCCTCCATGCCCAGCCTGTTCCCCTTTTAAGGACCTTGTGACTGTGCCCCACCCATCCCCCCGCTTCCCTCAGGCTGGCCTCCCTGCTTCAAGGCTGATGAGCCGCCTGCGTTGCATCCGCCGCCTTGACTGGGTGGTCACGCGTCTGGAGGCCCAGGGATTGGCTGCTGTTCTGCCAGATCCTCCTCTTCCCCACTTGTTCCTCACATCAGGACACTGAGACCCAGAGAGACAGGCGCTTGTCAGGGCCTCCCAGTTACTAGGGGCAGAGGTGGGAGCAGCCAAGTGCCTGGCCGTTGAGCCTGTTCTCCTGGCCACCATGCCTGGGCAGTCTGCTGGGTCCCCAGCAGCCAGTGGGACTCGGGGGTGGCACCTGCCAGGGGCAGCTGGTCTCTGCAGCTGACTGGTCCTGCCTCCTCAGACCCTCTGCCCAGGGCAGTCTCTGTCTGACATGGGGATCCTGGGCCACCCCAGCTTCTAGGTCCCTGAGGGTAGAAGGACCCCTGTGGTTCATGGAACAGGCAGCTGCGGCTACCTTTGAAAAGCAGAGCGGCCATGGCAAGGACTGCCTTGTGCAGAAGTAGAGGTGGCAGGCACAGGCTCCTGCGTGGTGTGGGGTGCACCTAGGACAGGCTGCAGCTGCCCACCCGCTCCGCTCCCCTGCCTTCATCCCCAGGTCAGGGATGGGCGTTTTGGCCTTGTGTGGGGGCTCCTACAAGAATGGCCAGTCATTATTCAGTAGATGTCATGACAGTGATGTGAGACTCAGGTCTGGGAGACACAGACGCCATGACGATGACGTGGGACTCAGAGCCTGCATAGGTCTGGAAGACATGAGGTTTCCTACTGTGGCGGACACCCACCGGGCCAGGCTGGGGCTGGAGCTCTGCTCCGCAAGCTGGGAGCCACCCGTGGCTATGCTCAGTGGCATGCCTGAGAAAGGTGAAGGGAGCTGCCCCATCAGGCCTGGTTTGAGGCCCCCCTGCCATTCACAGGCCTTGTGACTCCACTCAGTCCCTGCTGTGAGCGCATGGCGTGTGAGCATGTGGTATGTGGCGTGTGGGCGTGTGGCACGTGGCGCGTGAGTGTGTGATGTGTGAGTGCATGGCATGTGAGCATGTATGTGGCGCATGGGCGTGTGGCACGTGGCGTGTGAGTGTGTAGTGTGTGAGTGCATGGCGTGTGAGCATGTGGCGTGTGAGCGTGTGACATGTGGTGTATGGCATGTGGTGCATGAGCACATGGCATGTGAGCATGTGGCATGTGGTGCGTGAGCACGTGATGTTTGGTGTGTGAGCACATGTGCCTGTCTATAGACACACCTGGGCAGTGGGGCTCTCGCCCTCCTGGGGACTGGCTCCCAGCCCCTCAGGTCGGGGCATAGTGCCCTGAGCGTGCTGCCGTCATGTCTGTTTTAGGTGAGCCACCAGCTGGGCAGCATCACGGACCTCTTCACCACCAGCCTGGCCCTCGCAGGCCTGACACCGCCCAGCGACAGGGCCATTGATGGCCTCAACCTCCTGCCTGCCCTCCTGCAGGGCCGGCTGATGGACAGGTTGGTGCTAGACCTGCCCCGGCCCCTTCCCTGATCTAGTGGCAAAGCCCAGAGCTGCTGACCAGGCCCGACCCCCAGGCCCAGCTGACCCTCATATTCCTGGACACAGGTGTGCTCGTGCCCAGGACAGAAGGAGGTGGGGAGCCTGTGCCGAGAGGACCTGGGGACCTGCCTGTGGGATGGGGTCCATCCTGGAAGTGTCCAAGGAGGGCGAGGCCATGAGAGGAGGGCAAAGCCAGGAGATGGGGGCGAGGCTTGGGGGGGGGGCAGGGCTGGGAGAGGGGCCTCATCCCTGCCTGCACCCCTGCCCACCCCAACTTTGTTTCCTGCCCGGTTTTCAGTGCCTCATGGCTGCTTGTAGTTTCCCTCTGCTGAGTCCATGGCTGGCTGGTCCCACTCTTACCTTCTGTCCATTTCCTACCCCAAGAGCAGCCACCATTCTGCTCAAAGCACGTTTCCTGGGTGGCCCTGAAGGGACGAGGATTCTAAAGGATCGACAGTAAACGGAAGGTGGGGACAGCTGCAGGGGCAGCATGCCGCCTCTGGCTTTTAGGGGAGGCGATGGGGGATTTTTCTCACTTGTCCCCTCTTGAGACCTGGCCCCAGCGCTTGCTCACTGCAGAAAAGACGGTGCCCAGCTGCGTCCCCAACTCCCTGTTGCTGTCCTGCAGGCCCATCATGGTCTTGGAGATGGGGACCTTATGCCACCAGCTTTCCTCTTGCCTATCCCCCTCCCCAGGGCTGGCCTGGCCTTGCCAAGGACCCACGATGAGGGGACGCCCAGGGACCCAAGCTCCGACCACCTCATGGGCCTTTTTGCTTTTCAGTCATTGTAAAATATCAGCCAAGGCATGAGCAGCCGATGATGGACGCAGCCTGGAGCCCCAGGTGACCCAGCATGTCCTTCCTGCTGTTACATGGTCCTCCTGTCCTGACCCACAGGCCCGTCTTCTACTACCGTGGTGACACGCTGATGGCAGCCACCCTCGGGCAGCACAAGGCTCACTTCTGGACCTGGACCAACTCCTGGGAGAACTTCAGGCAGGTACGGGGCTCTGGCTGTGGGCGTAGGTGGAGCTGCTTCCAACCCTGTCCGTACGTGTCCTCTGAGTGCCATCCTGGGGAGGTGCCCGAGGGTGAGACAGGCAGGACTCCACCTTCCACAGCCGCCTCTACAAGGCCCAGGGTCTGGCAGCTGACAGGCTGCAGGTGAGGGAGAGACCCCGAGGCATAGCTACAGACATGGCACAAACCCTGTCAGGTGGCCCCTGCCAGCCTCTCCATCCTGCCAGGACACCTGAGCTTTCTCTAACAGGGGCATGGCCTACTTGTCCCAGGTGCTACCTGAGGGTCTCAGCATCTGCATCTCCACCCCAGCCCCTAGCATGGGAGGGGAAATACAATAGGCACAGGCTCCCACCATCCCCGGCCCCCAGCAGTGTCGGCGCCAGCCTTTCTCCCCGAGAGCCTCCACCTTGAGCCTCCTGCTTCCTCCCTGGGGTCTTCTCTGGCTCTGGCTAATCCCCACGCTCCAGCATCCCCCACGGCCTCCTGAGGGGTCTCTCTCACCGATTCCACTGCCATAGTCTTGACATATGAATACCCTGTTCACCTGTCTTAACTGGGAAGAAAATCCTTTAGTTTAATGGAAAAATCTAAAGACTAGAAGTGAGGACTGGGGTTGAGGACTGAGGACCCAGGCTGAGAAGTGAAGCTGTTTCTAAGCTTTTTATAAAAATACAAAAATTAGCTGGGCATGGTGGCAGGTGCCTGTAGTCCCAGCTTCTCTCGAGGCTGAGGCAGGAGAATCATTTGAAACTGGGAGGTGGAGGCTGCAGTGAGCCAAGTTCACACCACTGCATTCCAGCTTGGGAGACAGAGCAAGACTCTGCCTCAAAAAAACACAAAAGGAAAACGGAGGTGCCCAGAGGGAGGGGCCTGGTGTGGCTCCAGCTGCCTGTCTGCAGGGAGGGCCCCAGGGGCCACGGCTGAGTGCAGGAAGGGAACCTGGGCTTGCTTTCTTTGCATGTTTATGATATTTTAAGTATATCCAATTAAATGCATAATTTTAAACATAAAATTCTTCTTAGTCGACTGAGTCTCGCTCTGCTGCCCACGTAGAGTGCAGTGGTACAATCTCGACTCACTGCAACCTCCAGCTCCAGGGTCCAAGCGATTCTCCTGCCTCAGCCTCCTGAGTAGCTGGGATCACAGGTGGGCTACCACACCCAGCTCATTTTTGTATATTTAGTAGAAATAGGGTTTCACGATCTTGGCCAGGTTGGTCTCAAACTCTGACCTCAGGTGATCTGCCCACCTCAGCCTCCCAAAGTGCTGGGATGACAGGCGTGAGCCACCCCTCTGGGCCTAGACACATAATTTGGGCATAAAAAGAAAAATCAGAATTTATGTTTTGCAGCCTAAGAGCAGACACAAGTGGGCCCCTGTGATGTTTTTGTCTGTCACGGCCAGTGCCAGGGAAAAGCTGCACTTCTGTGTGGGCATCGAGCCCGTGACCCTGTTGTCCCTGTCCTGCTCCACAGCCCCACAAGATGCGGCTCGGCAGGCCAGCCCGTGGCTGGAGCCCCATGGACGCGCCCGTCTTGTGGGCCCCGGGGTCCTCTTGGAGGCACTGACCCTTGGTCTCTGGTGACTGGGCAGCCACGGGTCCTGTCATGTGGCTGAGTGGGTCAGATGGGAGCCCGTGATGGACAAACACCCTTGGTAGTGTGGTGTTGCGGCGGGGGGGCCTCTCCCGTTCTCCCCAGGGCTTCATGGAGACACAAGCAGCGTCTAACATCTCCACGCCCAATGCCCCCGTCTTCCTGGGCAGTGCCGTGCTGGGCCTTGGCACCGTCGCTGGGCTGAGGCTGCAGCTCTGTCTGCGAGCACCTGCCAGCTGTGCATGACAGTTTGTCACCTCCTGGTGATACTGATCTCAGGACCCAGCTCCCCAGAGCTGGCAGAGGGCTCTCGTGGTTTGCTCCCCAAAGAGGGGCAGGCCCAGCAGGAAGCCCTCGGGCCCCCTGGGGTTCTCACCCCTCCGTCATTAGGTCGAATAGTCCGGAGTTAGTTGCTTGCTGTCAGATCTGGGGAGACCGTCCTGAGCCGGGCCTCAGTCCATGTCAGCCTCGTGGGCAAAAGCGAGAGCCGCTGGCCCGTGCCACTGCGCTACAGCCCACAGAAAGTCTGCCCAGAGCCCATGACGGGGGGACGGCACCAGGGTTCTGGCAGCAGGTCCCTGGTCCACACCCACAGCCAGGAGGCGAAGAGCCAGGCACCCCGGGTTCACCTGGGGAACTCCAGGCCCAGGCCTGGTCACTGTGTGGGCTGCAGGTTTTCCCTGTGGAAGCCCCGGGTCCTCAGGTTCCCTGCCACTGCTGCCACCTCCTATTGTGACAACACTAATGCTTTTCTTCCAAATGCTGGCCCCATCCACCCTCCTCCCTCTCAGGGGCCAGTGAGGCCCAGCCAGCTCAAGCATCATAGACAATGACAGGGTTGTGTCCCCGGAGCTGCCTGCCCAGGGCCAGTGGGTTCCCTCCCAGGTGGTCCACGTACTGGGGGTGTCTGCTCAGAGGCCAGGTGGCTACTCTGTGAGGCCACACTCTGCATCCCAGGCCGGCCCCTGCCCTGTCAGCTCAGGCTGGCGTTGTCACAGCTCAGGGCCGTGTGCTGATCCGCCATCCTCTGGTCCCAGTCACGCGAAGGGACCTTGCTGGTGTCCATTCTGAAGGCTAAGCCTGAGAACCAGCTGGGCCTGGAGAGTCCTCAGTGTGACCTGACCACAGGCCACTGCTCCTGCTCCTAGGATCCCTCTACTGGCTGATGCCACACAGACCCCACACCCCCAGCCCTCTGCCAGCGGGGTCCTCAGCCCTTCCCTTCTGGGCTATCAGTGGGGGAGGCAAAGGTGCTGTGAGGAGGATCACAGGGTGTTAGTCCTGGGGGCCAGGCTCGGTGGGGTCAAGTTGCTCCTCTCAGCAGAGTGGCCTTTGAGTTGGAGCCTGGCCAGTGCCTGCCGGGTTGGGTGGCAGGAAGGTCAGGCTGCACACCAGCCCTCACAGGTCACTACTGCTGCTGCGTTCTGTGGACACTGGGGGCCCTCTTCTCCTAGCACCCCAGGCTCCTCCTCTGCCCACTTCAGGCTCAGACCTTGATCCCTGCAGTGCTCTGCTCCCTCCAGGACCCCCTCCCACCTGGAGACCCAACTGCTAGCAGCCAGTCCCCAGCCCACCCCAGCCATCAGACCAGCACCCAGTCCACCCCAGCCATCCAATCAGCCCCCAGCCCACCCTAGCCATCAGACCAGCACCCAGTCCACCCCAGCCGTCCGACCACCCGACAGCCCACCCCAACTGTCAGACCAGCCCACAGCCCACCCCACCCATCCAGTCAGCCCACAGCCTACCCCAGCCATCAGACCAGCACCCAGTCCACCCCAGCCGTCCGACCACCCGACAGCCCACCCCAACTGTCAGACCAGCCCACAGCCCACCCCAACTGTCAGACCAGCCCACAGCCCACCCCACCCGTCCAGTCAGCCCCCAGCCCACCCCACCCGTCCAGTCAGCCCCCAGCCCACCCCACCCATCCAGTCAGCCCACAGCCCACCCCACCATCGGACCAGTTGCTCCCACCTGGTACCCGGCTTCTCTACCAGCAGAGCACAGGCCCTGCCTTGGGTTCCTGAACCTGAACCCCTTCCTCACCCCCAGGCCCTTGAGCCATGTGTGCGGTGGGTGGCCCTGGCTGCCACACTCGCCAGCCTCTGTCACATCCCAGTGGGTCCTCGGTGCTGCATTGGTTCGGCCGTGTGTGAGGGAACTGATGCAAGTGCAGGTGTGCAAAGGACACAGCCATTGCCTGGAGGAGCACAGGGGCCATGCACGTCCCCACTGCACCTGCCACCGCCACGGGGTGGGAAACAGGATCGGTCAGGCTGATCCACATGACCCTTGGCCTTTCCTGACCAGATCTCCAAGGGTCTGTCTCTATAGGATCATCCCTTCCCCTGCTACCACTCCTTTTAAGTCAGCCCTGTCTCCCAGGCCCCCACCTGCACCCCACTGCACGTGGCTGGCACCTGGTGCTCAGTGCCGGCTCAATGAGGAGGAAGAGGTGCTGGGTAATGCCCCCAGGGTGAGGTCTCCCTCAGAACACAGTGAGAGGAATCTGCACGGATCAGCGGGGTCTTGATGAAACGGCCTCCAGCTGTCAGTCACATCATCTGTCTACACTGAGATGCTTCCCCACTGCCTGTCAGCGTCTTCGTGAAGACTGCGGCCGTTCCTCCCGCTGTCCATGCCCTGGAGTCCACAACACTGCCTACTGTGGAGCCACTTTGGTGTCCACTGCCGCCCCGAGCCACTCCGAGTGCAGCCCCTGGTTTCCAGCCGTGGACCCTGGCATCTGCAGCCCAGGGCACATCAGTGGAATTGCATGGGCTTCCAGCCTCCCTGCTCCACTGAAGAGCAGAGCATGACCTGCCCCCTCACCACTGATCCTCATGGATACACGCCATGTGCTAGGAAATGCTTTGCCCGTCAGACAGCCAGTGCCTGCAGGAAGCTGCTCAGGCATTGGTGTACCCACCCCAGCCCACCCTGGCTCAAGGCTTAAGGGATCCCAGCACATGGTGGCCGAGTCTCCCGGCTGCTGGAGCCCCTGGCACAGTCCTTGGAGAAGCCCCTTGGCCTGCAGCATCCCCTCTGGGAATATTAGAGGCACACCTCCCCCTTCCCAAATCAGGGAGCCCAGGGGGCAGCAGAGAGAGCTGTGGGGCCTCAGGGCCATCGTAGGACCTGGGACAGAGCTCAGGCCACTGCCCACACACAGCATGCTCAGGAAAGGTCGCACTGGGCCGAGCAGCTTCAGGAGTGCATGAGAGGGAACCCAGCAGGCCTGGCTCTGCTGCTTGGTGGCGTGGCTGCTGCCTCCCGAGCCTTCCCCTGCTCCCGCTTCCTGTGCCTTTGTTTCTGTCTTCCTGAATAGTTCATTGTGGTTACTGTGAAGTCTTCTCCCTTCATGAGCATGTGAATCCGCGTCAGCCCCTGGGTCCGTTTCTATTGTCTGTGCTTTCTCCTGCTTTTCGGGTCTTGGTCCTGCTTCTTCCTGTCTCACGGTTTCCACAGGGATCTTGGCGTGTGGCTCTTCCTTCTCCCAGGACAGACCCAACCCTCCCCTCCCCAGCATTCCCCTCCCCTTCTGGTATTAAAAGGGGCTTTCCTCTATGAAATTAGTGGCAGTCCAGATGTGAGGCTGGTTAGGGTCTTTTAAAGACACTCACCTGCCCCACGAAGAAGAGGGGTACATGAAAACCAGGGGCACATGAGGCATGCCAGCTGTGTAGCTCAGGGGCCCCGGAGTGGGTGGCTTCACCTCCTTCACAGGACACTGTAATGATCGTGGCCAGGTACAGGCCCACTCGTCCTTCAGCATTTAGCCAGTGTCCCGTACTGTGCTGAGTACCAGGGACACTGCTGGGCACTGGCAGACAAGGGCCCCTCTCAGGGGCTCCAGGACACAGGCAGTTGAGGCCCGTCATGGCCGTGGGTGAGGGTTCAAAGGTCAGGGGCTCCAGGACCCACCTTCCGTCCTCTTCTCATTGCAGGGCATGGATTTTTGCCCTGGGCAGAATGTTTCGGGGGTCACGACTCACACCCTGGAAGACCACACGAAGCTGCCCCTGATCTTCCACCTGGGACGGGACCCCGGGGAGAGGTTCCCCCTCAGGTGAGTTGTTGCAGGGCCTCCGGTATGTTGGGACAGTGCCAGCTGGACTCCCCCAAACGCAGGCTCCGCAGGGACGGAGCCCTCTGCACCCTGCTCATCACCTCCCATGCCTGCGTCCCCTCCTGCTGTGTTCTTCCCACCCAGTTAGTGACCTGCCCTCCTCTCCGGAGCGCCCGCTGCTGCCCGCCTTGGCGGTTTCCCCGATTCTGCCTGTTCTCTGCCACTGTCCATCTGGCCCCCAGCAACATGCCCCCTACTTTCAGCTGCCTCTGGGGATGGCCAAGGCCAGAGAGAAGGGGTCCAGGCCTGAGGCATGCCCAGGAGGCCGGCCAGCCCTGGGGTCAGCGGGACGTGCAAGGACGCAGGTCAGCGAGCAGGAGGAATGGCAGAAAGCTGCCAGCCCCAGCTCCACCCTCTGCTGTCTGGGCCTTGTCCTCGCCCTACTAAGGATGCTGGAGCCTGGGCCATCGCCTGCCAGCTTTCAGAGAAGTTCTCCCCTCATCCTCGGGAGTCTCAAGGGGCATGGTCACCAATACCAAACCCACATGCTCTCTGGCAGCTCCTTAGGGGTGACACGGAGGCCCCAGCACTTGGCTGGAGACCCCACCCTGGCTTCCTTTTCTCTTGTCCGAAGCCACCTCCCTGGGCTGGGGCTACCTGGAGGCTTCTCTGTCTCAACCCCGCAGGATGAGCAGGTACCCAATTCCTGCTCCTGGCCTGGGGATCCTGGTGGTCTCCAGCATTCCTGCCCCATGGAGATGGTCCCGGGAAGACCCAGGAGTGTCAGGGGCCACTGTGGGAGGCAGAGGACCCAGGAATGTCGAGGGCCGAGGTGGGGGGCAGAGGACCCAGGAGCGTCGGGTTGCCATAGGGGGCAGTCAGATTTGAGCACAGCAGTGCTTCCTGCCCAGACTGCCCCCTGCTGTTTTGAGCAAAACAGCGCCACCGCCAAGGTCCCTGAGGCTCCTGCACACCCCTTGGACGGGGCAGCCTCCTTCCCACGGGGCTGAGCCTGCTCTGAGGCTTCTGAGCCGGAGCCCCTCCCACTGCCCTCAGAGACCACTTGGGCACTTCCTCATCAGCACCTCCCCTTCTACAAGCATCTGGCTCAGAAGCCTGGGACAGTGACTGCAGAGGGGCAGCAGGGAGCCCAGAGTGGACAGAGCAGGCCACCCACACCTCCAGCTTGGCCTGATGGGAAGTAGGGTCTTTGCCTGGTAATGAAGGCACAGGTGGGCACTGGTCGTCCTGGAGCAGGTGGCTTTGAGTCCAAGGCCAAGTGCCCTGAGACCAGAGGGAGGAGACACAGACACAGGCTAAGGCCACGGGGGAACGAGGCGGGGACCGGACAGAACGCCACCAGCCTGGGCTCACGTGGGGCTGGAAGAGGCAGGAAGGAGCCCCAGTTCCTCCAGAGGGCGTGGCCCTGAGACCCCTGGTTTCATGCTCCGGCCTCCGGGGCAGTGAGGGGCTGGTGTCTGCAGTTTTGTTTGAAGCCCCCTGTCCTGGTCATTTGTTGTGGGGGTGCCAGGACACTCACAGAGACAGAGCCGGGACCTCTCCGGCCCACCGGGGGACAGTGATCACCACAAACCATGGGGGGCCTTGTGGAGCTGGAGGGGCAGTCTGTGAGCCCCCTGTGCCTACAGGAGTCACCGAGGAGCCCACAATCCCTCGGCTGCAAGTGCCGTCCCAGGGGGACTGCGGGGAGCAGATCACAGTCCCAGCCACTTGCTCCATGGACCACCCAAGATGAAAGCCTGAATGGCAGTGCCCACCCGAATCCACTGGGCATCACTGCTGTCCGCAGCAGGGTCCACAGGGGTGTTACCTGCTGTGTTTGCTGGAGCCCCCAGCCAGGCCAGAGCAGAGACACAGTCCCACCGTCCGCCACAGCCGTGCAGCCCGGCCTCACAGCTGGAGAATGTGCGATCTTCAAGCAAATCCCAGGCAGCATTCGCAGCTTCCCTGTGGAGGTCACAAGGAGGCAGAGGCCAGGCCTGTTGGTCTGACCATCCCCGAGGTCAGACCCCCACGACACGGCCTCATTCACCCTGGGCGGCTTCTCAGACGCAGACACGTGTGGCTTTGCAGGGAGCCTCTAAACAAGAAGATGGGTGGTCGGGCACTGCGGCTCACACCTGTAATTACACCCAGCACTGGGAGGCTGCAGCAACACCAGGAGTTTCAGGCTGGCCTGGCCAACATGGTGAAACCCTGTCTCTACTAGAAATACAAAAACTCGTTGGACGTGGTGGTGGGTGCCTGTAATCCCAGCTACTCAGTAGGCTGAGGCAGGAGAATCACTTGAACCCACTGCATTCCAGCCTGGGCAACAGAGCAAGACTCCATCTCCAAAAAAAAGAAGATGGGGCCAGGCATGGTTGCTCACACCTGTGACCCCAGAACGTTGGGAGGCCGAGGTAGGAGGATCACTTGAGCCCAGGAGTTTGACACGAGCCTGGGCAACACAGCAAGACCTGTGTTATATCGCAACAGAAAATAAAAATGAGCGGGGCATGGCGATCTGCGGTCCCAGCTACTCAGGAGACTGAGGGAGGAAGGTCACTTAAGCCCAGGAGGTCGAGGCTAGTGAGCCTGGGTGACAGAGCAAGGTCCTTTCTCTAAAAAATAAAGAAGTCAACGAGAAGATTAAAGCAACAAGCTGGGCCGGGGCCTCCAGGGACACTCGATGGCAAGAGAGGGGCAGGTGGGACAGCTGCATTCCTCAGCGGTTCTCAAACAAGTGTTTGGCCCCAGAATCCTGCAAACACACACACACACCTGAGACGCTCCGGGATTAAAAATGTGGCTGGGCATGGTGGCTCACGCCTCTGATCTCAGCACTTGGGGAGGCCGAGGCAGGCGGATCACCTGAGGTTAGGAGTTCAAGACCAGCCTGGCCAACGTGGTGAAACCCTGTCATAAAAAAAAAAAAATGGATCGTGCAGCCAGGCCGTTAGCAGCAGGGGTGGTGGGAGCTGAGCCCAGGGATTTGGTGTGAAGCCCCCGATGGGGCAAGGACAGGCGGCTCCGTGGCGCACCAAGCAGGGAACCCTGAAGGATCCTGGCTCTCCTGGAGGTCACCCTCTGATGCAGCCTGAGGCCTGAGGCGTAACAGGGAGTGGGTGGATGGAGCAGAGAGAGGCCGGGTGGAGGGGCGGGCCCCCATCTCCGTTGCATGCGGCTTCTGTGTGAAACCTCACTTTTAGGGAAGGTTCTGGAGCAAAAAGCCAGTTCTCACAGCCTGGTGAGTGTCCAGGGCAGAGGGACTGGGCTCAGGTGGGTCCGAGCTCTCCTCCCAGGGGGTGCTGGGCCTGGGTGGGTGCTGCGTTGGGAGCACAGCTGGCTCACCTGGCAACCCCATCTCTAGCCTTGTCAGCAGCTCCCACACCACCTTGCAGAATGGCCACCCCGGTCCACATCCCCGTCAGCAGAAGTGTGGCTCCTGGCCAGGCTTGGCCGGTGACAGGCAGTTGTTCCCACACCTCCCTGAAGACCTCAGTGGCAGGTGTCTCTTCACATGGGTGTGGGCGATACTTGAAGCGATTGGAAATGGTGGAAAGACGTCAGTTCTGCAGCTACCCTCAGAGCACCGTGGACCTAGAATGTGGCCCCGTGGCCCCCACGGCGCCTCGTGGAGCTGTTGAATCATTTCTTCGTGAAAAGGAAGGGAAGCCGAATGCTCCGTGTGCATCGGAAATTTACAGCTGCAGATTCGGTTTCCCTCCATTTCCCATTTGGCAATGGGGTGACGGTGCTTTTGTAACGAAATAGGTGTGTGTCATGTTTGTAAGTGTTTACGCAGTACTGAGTGCTGGGGAGACCCACACACAGGCCCCAGCCCACACGCCCCAGGTCCTGGTCACAGGCAGGTCGCCTGGTGGGGACAGGTCGGGACAGCCATGCTCACAGCCTCTCTGCCAGGGCTTGGCCTCCTGAGCCTTCATTTTCCACCTTGTCCATGAGTCTGGGGGCAGAGGACAGCTCAGGTGCCTGCTGCCTGTCCTGGTGAGGCCCGGGGGTCCACAGGGACTGTGCCACTTCAGTGCTCGGCCTGGTGAGGCCCGGGGGTCCACAGGGACTGTGCCACTGCAGTGCTCGGCCTATTAGACCGCTGCAGCCTCAGCCTTTCCAGGCCAGATCCTCCCCATCCTTCGCCATCAGCCCCAGGTGTGCCCCTGCAGCCACAGCTGTGTGACTGGAGCTCTCTGTCCCTAGCTTTGCCAGCACCGAGTACCAGGAGGCCCTCAGCAGGATTGCCCAGGTCGTACAGCAGCACCAGGAGGCCTTGGTCCCTGGACAGCCCCAGCTCAACGTGTGCAACTGGGCAGTCATGGTAAGTGGCTGGTGTGTGGGCGGCTGCCCTGTGCCAGGCTGCAGCCACCCACCCGGAGCCCCAGATGAACCGTGGCCAGCACAGGGCGGCGGAGGGGAGGCGGGGGCAGTTCCAGGCCTCCATCCAGGACCAGGGCCCTGGTGTCTCAGTGTCCAGGATTCAGGGTGCTGGAGCCAAGCGACTTGGGACCAGTGCCACACTGCACCAGGGCTACTGCAGGTCCCAGGGCGTCTGCCCAGCTGAGCTGAGACTGGGCAGCTCCCAGGCCCCTCTCCTGCCCCCCTGCAAGTGGTCACTGAGAGTCAGCAGGGTGCACAAGAGGGACCAGGACCCCTGGTCCTGGACTCCCACATGGGCATGGGCAGCTTCTCCCTGCTGGGTCCCTAGACGGTGCCCAAGCATCAGGCTCTGCAGGCACCGCAGGAGGCAGGAACAGCGCTGCCCAGTGGGCTCCCAATGGTGCAGGTGCTGCTCTGTGAGTGGCGGCGGCCCCTGGGCCCACCTGCCAGGTTCCCACTGTGCCTCCCCCATGCTGGGCCCGCCTCAGGGATCTTGCATCAGACCTGATGCCACTCACAGGCACCAGAGCAGCCCCTCCCTACGGCCTGACAGGATCAGGCCATGTTCACCTGCAGGAGAGAAAGGGCCTCATCACCCCAGCCTTGGCTGGAAACACGAGCACAGACATGCCTCCATCGTTTAGCGGAAGTCAGTTCAAGCCACATCTCCTTGTCCAACCCTGGGGGCCGCCGCCGTCAGGGCCTCTTGGGACCAGCTCTTCTGCCTCCTGCTTGGGGGCCCCATGGGGCGGGGTGTGGGTGGCCCAGCCATCCTGGGTGTGCAGTGGCTGCCAAGGCCCGTTTCCCAGCTCAGCGAAGGAGGGTCCCAACAGACACCGGCCTGACGGCTCCTTCAAACGGGACACGTGCAGCCCTTTCCAGTCAACAGTGACGCAGCACACAGGTCTGTGCTGTCGCTCCTGGGTGCTCCAGATGGGCTGGGTGTGGCTGCCCACAGCCTCTGGACCCTGCGAGGGAAACTGAAGGACATGGGGAACGGAACCCCTCGGCAGTTCAGCCTGGGCTTCTGCTGCGTGGGGAAGAGACCCCGCTGATGCCCCGTTCCAGGGCCAGACCTGACTACAGCATGGGAGCCACCAGGTGCCCGCCATGCCGTGGAAAGGGAGGTGGAGGCTCTGAACAGTTGGGAGCCACAGTGCGGGTCTCGGGTGAACGTAGAGGAGAGCGCCAGGCATCGGGAGTGCCTCCCAGCAGTGAGGACCATGGAGGGAAAATGGCCTCATCCTTGCCCAGGGACAGTCCACCCTGCAGGGTCATTCAGGACTGAGCAGGGCAGCGGGTGCCTGGCAAGTTTCACCATAGGAAGACATTTAAGGCCCCTCCTTCAAAGGGACCTGGGCAGCTGGCATCCCCACCTCTGGACTCAGCAGTGGAGCCAGGAGGTTCCTATCTCAGGACCACTGAGTCTCAGGCCCCAGGAGCCTGGGTCCACTAGCCGTGGAGGAGGCCTGGCCTTCTGCCCTCCACGCCCAATCCCGGCCTGTGCTGCTGGGTCCTGTTCCCAATCCCGGCTTCAGTGGCTCCACGGGCTCGGGCCACACCAGCCACGGAGACAATGGGCACAGGGCAGGGGAGGCCTGCGGCACACGGCCCGGCTGCTGCTGCCATCTCCTGGGCATTGGTGGAACTGCCGCCATCGCTGCACCTCTGCGGTCTGCAGGGAAACGTGGTGCCGACTCAGACCTGGTGAGCTGAGTCACTGGGGTCTGCGGGACCGAGACCCCACCATGAGCACAGCCATGGGGAGTTGCAGGCTCAGACTCACGCGTGTGAAGCCCAGGGCCCGGGGCCACTCGCCCTCCTTACCCCTCCCTGCCCTCTGTCCTCCAACTCCAGGCCAGCCTCAGGCAAGCCTCTCAGTGGCATCTCTGGTGCAGAGGAGAAGGATTCCGGCCACCTGGGCCCTGCTCCTGGGACAGCTGAGCAGCCTTTGAGAAATGCAGACACCCCTTCCAGATTGACACACACCCTGCGGCTGCCGCTACTACTTTTGGGGTTTGGGAGCAGCTTCCTCATCCAAACCCAGTCCTGCTCTGCTGGCCAGAGGGGCAGGGACACTGACGTGGCATTTCCCGCTGCTGCCCAGGGCCAGAGAGTGTCCTTAGCACTGTGTCTGATTGTGCAGCACCCAGAATCCAGTCTGTCGGAGAAAGTGCCCTCGGGGGCACGCTGCATCTGATGTGGCACACAGATGTGCTGGACGGGGGTGCAGAACCAAGCTGCAGTCATTTCAGCCAGGAAGCCTCCTCTTAGGGGCATAAGTCTCCCTTTCTGTTGCCAGGAAAAGCGTGCTCCCACCAAGCGAGCCTCCCACTAAGCAAGGCCACGCTGTGAGGTCCACACACACACCCAGGGAATGGAAGGGTCGGCTCTGCCCAGCACCGCTCTGAACCCAGCCCAGCAGCTCAGCGAGGACCAGCTCCTCCCTGGGAAAGGCTCTTGAGGCTCCTCCTGGGAGGACTGCCTGCCCATTCTAACGCCACTGGCTACACTGAGGGCCTCAGCTACTTGGCAGTTGCAACCCCCACCCCTGGGACCTCCCTGCTAAGTTCTCTTCAGAGCTGAGAGGCCGAGTCAGGAGGGCCCCATATCCTGAGTTCCCAAGATTCCTGGAGAGGCACCTGTGTAGCTGCGCAGCAGGAGCGAGGTGGTCCCCACACAGGCCAGCTGGATGGACGTGGGGGTTGGCCTGGGCAGGGGACACATCAAAACTGCTTGAGGCCGGGCGCAGTGGCTCACGCCTGTAATCCCAGCACTTTGGGAGGCCAAGGCAGGTGAATCACCTGAGGACAGGAGTTTGAGACCAGCCTTGCCAACATGGGGAACCCTTGTCTCTACTAAAAATATAAAAATAGTCCGGGCGTGGTGGGTCACACCAGTAATCCCAGCACTTTGGGAAGCTGAGGCGGTTGGATCTTAAGGTCATGAGTTCAAGACCAGCCTGACCAACATGGTGAAACCCCTTCTCTACTAAAAATACAAAAAAAAAAAAAAATAGCTGGGTGTGGTGGCACACACCTGTAATCCCAGGTACCCGGGAGGCTGAGGGAGGAGAATCGCTTGAACCCGGGAGGCGGAGGTTGTGGTGAGCTGAGATCGCACCACTGCATTCCAGCCTGGTGACAGAGTGAGACTCCATTTTAAAAAAACAAAACCAAAAATGGCCAGGTGCAGTGGCTCATGGCTGTAATCCCAGCACTTTGGGAGGCCAAGGTGGGTGGATCACCTGAGGTCAGGAGTTCGAGACCAGCTTGGCCAGCATGGTGAAACCCCATCTCTACTGAACCTTTGTGGGCATCTGTAACCCCAGCTACGCAGGAGGCTGAGGCAGGAGAATCGCTTGAACCCAGAAGACAGGTTGCAGTGAGCCAAGATTTCGCCACTACTCAACCCTGAGTGACAGACACTCTTATCTCAAAACAGAATTTTCTTAAAAAAATGCTGGGCTGTTGTTGAGTCCACAGGAGCTTGAAATAATTGCATGTTCTTTTTCTCAATTTTCATTTCCCAGAACTGGGCACCCCCGGGCTGTGAGAAGTTAGGGAAGTGTCTGACGCCTCCAGAATCCATTCCCAAGAAGTGCGTCTGGTCCCACTAGCTTGTGGGCCCAGGCCAGGCCTGGGATCTCCGGCCGGGCCTGCACATGCCTGGAGGGAGGACAGTTCTGGCCTCAGTGCTTCCCCAGCCCTGCCCCAAGCCAGATGGATGGCACCTGCAACCAGCAGGGGACTGCACAGCTCCACCTGCCCAGGACCTGGCCCTGGGGTGTACTCGGGCCTCCTCCGATCTCAGGAGCCTGCCATCTCATGCCTCTGTGAACCCAAATATCTGAGACAGGTCCCAGTCGACTTAGAAAGTTTGTTTTGCGAAGGTTGAGAACATGTGCCTGCCACACATCCTCAGGAAGTTCTGACGACATGTGCCTGAAGCTGGTTGGGTACAGTTTGCCTTTATACATGTTAGGGAGACATAGAAGGTCAGTATGTACAAGACATACATTAGTTGGGTCAGCCTTCCGCTGAATACACAGTTGAGTGTGGCTTAGTGAGTCCAAATTTTTACGTACACTATGGGGCAGGGGAAGGAATCAGGTAAGCATTTGTCTTGGGAGCCCCAGAGGGGTGACTTCGAGTCCCATCTGTCCTTTGTCCACAGGAATTTCCTTGGGCACTAATTGAGGAGGCATGAAGTCTCTTACCACTGTAGCTGTCTTGTTTAGAAATAAAGTGGAGGCGGGTTTGCCTGACTTAGTTTCCAGCTTGACTTTTTTCTTGGCTTGGTGATTTTCGGGTTCTGAGATTTATTGTCCTTTTGCACCTTCCCAGCAGCTGCCAAGGATCATGCACAATCTCCAGCCGCCTCCCGGCCCAGCCTTCTCCAAAACCCAACGCTGCATGCCCAGCCTGAGGGCATCACCCACGGCTCCCATGCCAGCCCAACAGCCCAGGGTTGAAGGCGACAGGCCCAATTCTGTGTTGAACCTTCCCCAGTCCCCTCTTCCAGGAACCCCCACACCCCACACCTTCCCAGGCCCCCTTTGGGCCATCTGGAGACAGGATCATGAGCAAGGAGGGGTAAGGCCTCCTGGGCTGGATGTGGAAGGCTGAGGTGCAGCTCACACACTTGGCCCAGTGGGGCTGCCTCATGTGGCAACTTCCACGGGGACGTGAGGATGTCAGGGTCCTCCTTTTCCGCCTTCCTTAGGGGTCTGGAGCCCAGGCCCCTGACCTTGCCAGCCCTGACGACAGCACACTGCGAAGCAGCTACTGCTGCCACGCCCCTCAGCACCAGAGTAAGGGAACCCACCCGCCCTAGAAAGGGGGCCCCAGCAGCCACAGCAGTCTCCCGCCTCCCCTCCGAAGGCTCCTGGGACTGCCTTCCATTGAGTGGGTTTCCCCCTCTGTGCTGTAACTGCCGGGCCAAAGCTGAATGTAAAAGTTGAGAAATGAAAAGTTGCAAAATGAAGAAAATCTTAGAGCACAAGGCATTTCAGCTGTGGCGATTTTTCTTTGAAAGGAAATTGTATTCTGGGGAGTTGTGCCTCACGCAACCCCCTGGGTGCGGTCTTCCTCGGGCGGGCGGCCAGCGGGATTCACAGCTCCCCATCCCAAGGCTGGTAGGGCACCTGGCCTCTGCAGGCGGACAGAGGGGGACAGGGCCTCTACCCTCGCGGATGCGTCCCCTGGCCTAGCCACGCCTTCCGGCCTTTCCCCCCCGGTCCAGGAGGGAAAGAGCCGCCTCCAACCGCAGGGCCCAACCGCGAGAGACCAGCGCCCCGGGCCGGTCCAGCCCAGGCCCGGCGTTTCCGCCCTGGCTGCTCCTTCCCGGCCCTGCACCGCCACGCTGCTCCTTGGACCCCTTCCTCACGCCTCATCCACCCCGCGCGCCAGGCTCCGCGCGCAGCATCCCCATGGGGCGAGGGCTTGGGCGAGGCCCCCTCACGCCCATCTCGAGCTGCCAGGGCCCCGGCCCACAGCCGCCTAGCTGCAGTCAGAGGCGCCGCCCGAGACAGAGACTCGCACCTCTGCCCAGTTCGAACGTTCTGCTCAGTGGTGCTTGGATTGCAAGCGCGTCTTAAAATCGATGGCGCCTAGAATTCCATGAAATACGGTACGTGCTTCCTGCGAGGGACGCCCCTCCCCGCGCAAGCCCCGCCCCTGTGGAGGCTCCGCCCCTCGCGCAAGCCCCGCCCGGCCCAGCGCAGGCGCAGGCGCACTCCTTCCCGCGCTGGCGCGGAGCACGCGGGCATGGCGGACCCCGAGCTTCAGCTGGTGGCGCGGCGGATCCGCAGCTTCCCCGACTTCCCCACCCCGGGCGTGGTGTTCAGGTGCGACCGCAGGCCGTCCTCGTGGCGCCCCGACCTACGGGCCTGCGGATGGGTGCGCGTCGTCCGCGGCCCCGGGACTGCCGGACTAGCGGGGTGGGTGGGGCGCGCGGGGCGGGAACCCTCGTCCTCCGCCCCCGGGTCCGCTGCTCTCCGTCGGCCCGGGCGTCACCAGACCTGTCCTTGGGTCCAGGGACATCTCGCCTCTCCTGAAGGACCCCGCCTCCTTCCGCGCCGCCATCGGCCTCCTGGCACGACACCTGAAGGCGACCCACGGGGGCCGCATCGACTACATCGCAGGCGAGTGCCCCGTGGCCGCGTCCAGGGCGCCTCCGCCTCCGCGCGCACCGAGGGCAGCACGTGGGCTCTGCACGTCTGCTTGGGGGAGGGCTTTTGGGGTCCTTCAGTGGGCGCCAGGACGGGCACCGTGCTTGGGATCGCCCCCGAAGGGTTGTGAGGTAGGCGCCCTGCCCACAGCTTCCAGGTCCCCAGCCCAGGACACGCGTGATCCAGTCGCAGGGTCAGTTGGTCTCCCTGGGGTGCCAGGGTGGAATCCACGGGGCCCGGCTGTCCTGGCTCTTGTTCTTTCTGCGAGCTGGCATTGAGCGTCCGCCACGTGTTGGGCCTTCTGAGGCGAAGATCACTGGATGCCCACCCAGGGAAGGGAGGCCTGGAGGCCTCCGGGAGAGCCCGAGAGGTGGCCCAGGGAGAACAGAGTGTACCTGTCGCTCTTGTCTCTTCTGGGACGTGAGAGCCCCTTCCTCACCTGCCAGGCCAAGGCACTGTCTTCCTGAGCACCCCCGAGCATCATAGCTCAGGCCACCTCAAGAGACTCCCTTTTAGACAGAAGCCCTGGGGCAGAGCTGAGGCCTGGCAGGTTTCCACCAGCCCAGTTACAGATGGGCTGCTGAGCTCAGAGAGAGGGGAGGTGACTTCCCTGGGACCTGACAGCTAAAAAGGGGCCCCTTAAAAGCTGGGCCCAGGTCTGCACTCTGACCTCGAAGCAGCTCCGGGTAGGTTAGGGTAACTCCTTAAATGGGGCACGTCCTGGCCTTTCCCCTGGAGCAACAAGGCCAGATGCCCCCGGGACTCCCACGCTGGCTGGCGAGTCACTCCCAGCTCTCACCCTAACAGGCCTAGACTCCCGAGGCTTCCTGTTTGGCCCCTCCCTGGCCCAGGAGCTTGGCCTGGGCTGTGTGCTCATCCGAAAGCGAGGGAAGCTGCCTGGCCCCACTGTGTGGGCCTCCTATACGCTGGAATACGGACAGGTAAGAGGGCTGGGGTGGCCCAGGGAAGGGCAGGGCCAGGCCACTGCCCATTCTCCACCCAGTCCAGAAGGAGTGTCAGGTGGAGCCCCTGTAGTTAGACAGTAGCCTTGGGGCTCAGGTTGAGACATGGGTAGGTTCACACAGCCAGGGAACAGCAAGGTGGGGTTGGAGCCTGGGCCCAGGGTGGCAGCTGCTGAGATCTGCACACAAAGCTGTTTTCTGCGGGAGGCTGAGGACCATATGTCACTTCCCACCCAGGCTGAGCTGGAAATCCAGAAAGACGCCCTGGAGCCAGGACAGAGGGTGGTCGTGGTGGATGACCTTCTGGCCACTGGCGGTGAGCATCTCCCGAGGCTGCTGTGGCTCTCAGGGTCTGGTGGGAGTGGGACAGGACCTCACTGCATGTCACGTGGGGTGCAGCTTACTGGTGGCCAGGCCGGCAACTTCCTCTCCCTGCGCCCTCCCCTCCCCCACCTAAGGGCTGGCCTGGAGCACCAGGTCTCTGCAGCCCAGGCCAACTGGGGACCTCCCCGTCCCACCCCCAGGAACCATGCACGCTGCCTGTGAGCTGCTGGGCCGCCTGCAGGCCGAGGTCCTGGAGTGTGTGAGCCTGGTGGAGCTGACCTCACTCAAAGGCAGGGAGAAGCTGGCACCTGTCCCCTTCTTCTCCCTCCTGCAATACGAATGACCTCAGGGCCTCCCAGCCCAGCTTCTCCAGCTGGAGCCCAGGGATGCTTTAGCCTTGGGCTATGGGTCACCAGGGACCCCGGCCGCCCACGGGAACACATCCCTTAGCTCTGGTTCAGCGCCTCTCCTGGGGCAAAGATCAACCATCCTGGGCCCAGTTACACACACAGGGAGAACACAAGTAAACAGTTTTGCCACACGAGCCGGCTCCTGTTGTTCTGTTGCCTGGGGCAGGAGCCCCAGGATGATGCCAGGCTCCGGCCTTCTGTGTGAAGCAGGTTGCAGCTGCACTCAGATGGGCACATGCTGCTTGGCATGGTGCCTGGCAGAGACATTCTTGTGGTTCTCACCTCAGGAGCTGGACCCGTCCAGGCACTACAGGAGGCCACATGGGCCTCATCTCACAGGGAGCAAGCCAGGGCTGCAGGTACAAGCCATGAGGTGGCTGATGCCACTGCGGTGCCCATCAGCTTCCACACCTAGTGGCTGGCTGTCAGCACAACTTAGGGTTCTGGAGGACTGAGGTCAAGGTGTGGGCAGGCCAGTCCCTTCCTGAGGCTCTAGGGATGTCCTACTCACCCTGCCCAGCTTCTCCAGGTGGCCAGTGTCAGGGCAGGGCTGCATCTTCAAAGCTGGCTGGTTCTGGCCCTCTCATTAAGGACTCCTGTGATGACATGGGGCCCAGCTGGATGATTGAGGATCACTTCTCAAAATTCCTAATGACAAAAGCCACCCTTTGCTGTGGGAGGTCCCAGGCTTAGAGGGTTTGGCTTCCTGCCGACCACACTCCCCCAGAGCCCTGATCACCACCCCCCTATAGGTACCGGGATCTGGCTTCTCTTCCCCAGCAGAAGCAAGGACGGAGGCGCTCACAGAAACCCATTTAATGTGGATACATGACATGACCCCTATGAGTGGCCGCCACCCACAGCTAGGGGAGCCCTGGGCACTTGGGAAAGAGCAAAGTGCCTCCTCCTCATAAAGGACAATGCTGGTGGCCCAGGCCAGCAAGCCTGAAGCCCGTGTCTGTCCAGTGGCCACGGGGCTCACAGCCCCTCCTCGGCCCGGGCCTGGCGGACTAGGCGAGCAGTGATGCTGGCCAGGTCCACGGCCTTGTCCAGCTTGACGTAGGTGTCGGTGCGGATGCGGTGGAGGCTGAGCCAGTCCGGCAGGAGCTCCGCAAGGAGCAGCAGGTGCTTCTCCATCTCCCCTGTGGGTGGAGAGGGCACTGAGGTGGGTGGGTGCTGGGTCCCCCACGGGCCGTGTAAGACCAGCCCAACCACCCAACCTCTGTGCCTGCCCATTTGCCCTCACAGCCCCATCAACCAGGCCGAGGGCAGAGGTGGTTCTAATCAGAGGCCCAGGCCTGCCATTGAGGCCCTGTGAAGGGACACCAAGCATGGGGGCTGCCAACCCCGGAATGTTGAGGCAGGGAGTGCCCTGCAGCTTTGGGACCGCCTCTGCCCAAGGACTGCAGGCAGTCATGGAAGCTGCCCAGAGGCTGCAGGTGTGGAGGGCCTGGGCAGAAGTTCCGGACTGACCCTGAGAGAAACAGCACCCCAACACACACCAGCAGGCATGCAGGGGCTTAGGGGTGGCCCCCAGGGAGGCAGAGTGCCTGACACTAGTGCAGGTGGCCAGCACCTACCGCACATCTGAACAGAACAAAGCTGTGAGACACCTTAGTCAGAAAAGTGGGGGTGCCCCTCACCCCAACCTACACGTACCGGGGTTCATGGCAGTGCGACAGCTGCCCACCATCCTGGCGCAGGCAACCTCCATGCTGAGCGCAGGCTTGCGCTCAGACACGAAGACGCTGCGCAGCACGCGGGCCAGCTCGGGCAGCCGCTCCAGGCGCTGCAGCCGCTGCTCCTGCTCCGGGCGCCGCATCATCTGCGCCAGCTGCTTCTGTGCCTCCTTGGCTCGGACCTGAAGCGGATACAGGGAGCTGGTCAGTGGGCAGCAGGTCACCGGGCCCCTACCCGCCATCAATGGCGACTCACCCGCTCCAGCAGGTCCTGGGACACCCCCTTCAGGGCGCTGGGAGAGGCAGCAGGTGGGGTGGCTGGTGGGGTGGCCGGCAGTGCTGGCTTGGGGGACACCGGGCTGGGGGAGCAGGGGCTTCTGGGCTCAGCAGAGCGCTGGGCCAGCTGACGCAAGGCCTTCTCCATCTGTCAGAGGAGCAGGTTGGAGGGGAGAGGTCACAAAAGGCACCGTGCCCCTGGCTCCCTGCCCAGGAACCCCAGTATCAAGGCCTAGGTTTGCCCAGCACACTGGGTGGTCTGTGCTGGTCAGTGCAGGGTCCCAGTGTGCTACGTCACCTGCCAGGGGCCAACTCCCCACATAAGGCAAATGGCAGAGCCAGGCTTGGAGGCTGCAGCTGGGGACAGACAGCGAATGCCAACTCTCTGGACTCCCCAGCAGAGGAGGAAGCCAGATGAGGCACCACTTCTTACACCTGGGGTCAGGTTGGCCCACCCACCCAAAAGAGGAGCCTGACAGCCTCACCCTTGGTGACATCAGGCTGCAGGCCCGGGCCAGGACCTCCTGCGCGGTGCTGACTTTCTCCATGGCGGGCGGCTGGGGCAGCACGGCCGGCTCGATGTCAGGCACCTCATCCACGTTGAAGCGTGGGTGCCATCGCGTCAGCTGGTCCTCGGGCACCACCATGGGGGGGTTCAGGGAAGCCAAGAAGGACTACGGAAGAGTAGGTAGGTGACCCTGCGCACCTCTGAGACCAGGGCAGGTGCGTGAGGGGGGGTCTGCCTATGGTCACGTCCCATCTGGGCCACCTTGGGCAAGTCACTTAGCCTCTCTACCCAGCGCTCAGCTGGAGGGAGACCACATGGCCTCCCAAGGTCAGCACTCACTGAATGCCTTGAGGACCTCCTCAGTGCCTGTGGCTGGCTCCATCCCAGGAGAGGCTGAGGGTGGTGGGGACACTGAGCGCAGGGTTAGGGGCTGAGGCAGTGCTGGCACCCAGGGCACACCCAGCCCGGCCCTACCCTGGGAGAGGGTGGCGGGGACACTGAGTGCAGGGTTAGGTTAGGCAGCGCTGGCAGCGTCTTCCCACTGCAGGACCCGGGCCACTCACCCTGTGGTGCTGCCTGACAAGCTCCACCAGCTTCTGGCTGAAGACCTGTCGCCGCTGCAGGAGGCGCGAGGCCGTGAGCTTGGGGGCTTCTCCACTGCCCTCTGTGGGGTAAATCCAGGCCTGAGCCCCAGCCAGGCTGCCCAGCCACCCACCCATGACCACAGTCCTGGGCGAGGTGCCCAGTGCCTCACCACCCTCAAAAGTGTGCCGGTCACGGGGGAAACTGAGGCCCCCACGGCCAGCACTCACCCTGCTCCAGCAGTGGCTCGATGGTGAGCTGGTAATCCGACCTCTTCACGCCATCCTTGAAGGTGGGGACGCCGCGCTCCTGGCGGAAGTGGTAGGAGGCTGGGTACACAGTTTTGATCTGGCCGAGGTTGCGCTCCTCAAAGCCCCTACGAGAGGAGGGGCCGGGTCAGGAGGCAGCAGCCCAGGGCCCACCCCGACTCCAGGGCAGCCAAGCCCACCCCGAAGCCATGCACCTGCGTATCATGTCCTGGACGCCCCGCTGGACCTTGGCGAAGGTGGGCGTCTCGGAGCGGTTGTGGAGCATGCCCACGATGGTGTCCATGCTGCGGAACATCTCCGCCAGCACCTGGTACTTATAGGGCAGCACCAGCCCCGGTGGGCCGGGCTGGGCCAGGGCATGGAAGCGCTGGTAGGCCGGCGCCTTCTCGCCACTATCAGGGAGGGAGGAGCCTCGTGAGAAGCAGCAGGGGCCCCACCCCTCTGGCGCCACAGCAGGCCCCTCTGCCAGGGAGACCCTCTGCTGGGGCCTGCCACACACGATGGCTTTTGCGGCCCTTGCATGCCCACCAGCCCTGGCACCATTGGGGGTAGCACTGGTGACGGGAAAGGCTGGCTGCACACCCCAGCTCTGCCATTTCCACATGGTGCCCTCTGTCCTCTCCCGGCCCGGTTTCCTCGGCTCTCAGGGGCAGAGGCAGACCCCAAGATGCATCAGGAGCATATGAAACCCACCAGAGCCCCCGAGGCAGGAGCTGCCGCCCACAGGAGGGAATGAGGGCACAGGGCCAGCGGCACCCAGGACCTTTTCCTCAGGGCTCTGGCTCCATGCCCTGATGACCCCACCACCTCCCTCCCTGGAAGGAGCAGATCTGGGCCTCTGCCAGGCCTGCCTAGCCACCCCTCCCTGCAGCCTGGCCTTTCCGGGGGCCTCCTGGCCACCTGCCAGCACTCACCATGGCTCCTCAGGGCGGCCCTCGGCCTCCGGGGTGCGGGACTCCCCAGCTTCATGGGCACTGGCCTTCAGCGCCCGGACCCTTGCCCCCAGCTGCCGGGCCCGTTGCAGGCACGATCGGAGCTCAGAGATGGTGTCCTTCTAAGGGATATGGGGACAGGGTCGGTCAGCCGGCACCGCTCCGCAGCGCTCAGCCCTGGCCTCTGCCCCAGGCCCCGCGTCTCACCTGGCCCGGCCGACCTGCTGCCGGGGCGGATGTCGTTATCTTCTGGCACAGAGATGGACCGGCTGGGGACCCAGGGGCCTCGGGAGAGTCAGGAGCTTCCCTGGGGCTCCCTGGGGAACTGGGGCTGGAAACCTGGTGGGAGGAACCCCGAAGATGAACCCATGACGATTCCTGGTGGCTCTGCAGAGGGCCCCGCAGGACCAGCAGCCGCGGAGTTAACGGGATGGGCGCGGCGGGGGCGGGGGTCAGGGCTGCCCGACGGCCGAGGTCTGCGCGGAAGAGACAGCCCTGCCTGTCCCGCCTCCTGGGCAGTTTCCAGGACGAGCCCCTCGCCAGCCCCGCGGAGAAGTGGGACTTCCAGCCGCGTGATCGGGTCCCGGCGCAAGTCCCGCAGTGACTCCTCCCCATCTCAGGCGCCAGCCAGGTCCCCCCGAAGCCTGGCCCGGACTTGCCCCGCGCCCCTCCCCCTCCTGCCTCAGTTTCTCCGCCCCAGTCCCCCGGCCTCAGTTTCCCCGAGCCCCGCCCCCAATCGTCCGGCCTCAGTCTCACCGCGTCCGCCGACAGCCGCAGCCTCCTGCGCGCCGGCGGCCTGGCCTGGTCGCGTCCGGGGACGGCGGAGGGGCGGGCGCGCTTGCGGCTGCCGCTGGTGGCGGGGTCCAGGGCGCGGGGTGCGGGGCTGGGGGTGCGGCAGTCCGGCTTCGGCGGCGCGATTCGGGGCCCGGGGCGGCGGCGCGCGAAGAAGTCGGTGACGCGGCGCTGCTCCATGGCGGCGGAGCGCGCGGCGAGAGTGGGGAAGGCAAGGAAGAAACAAGAGAGGAAGAGGCGGGCGCAGTTCCCGCCAAATTTCCCGCGGGCGCCCCGGCCCCGCCCCCCGGCGCGGGCCGAACCAACGAGGCGGAGCATGGGGGGGAGGGGGAGCGGGAGGGGACGCGCATGCGCGCTGGTAGGCGCGGGAACCGGCTTGGCTGCGCGCATGCGCCGACGTGCGGCGGGGGACGAGCTGGTGGGTGACGTTGCGCGTGGGACTTTGGCGCGGCCTCCGAATCCCGCACGTGGCCAGCACTTCCCCAGCGCGGTCCCTCCTGTTCAGAAGTTACTGGTCTCGCGGCGGCGTCTGCGTGGTCCGGGCGGGTCTCGAACTCCCTGCCTCGCGGCGCGCCCGCCTGGGACTGCCGCCTCCCAAAGCGCTGCGTGGCTCGCTGTTTAGAGGGTGGATTTGCTGTGTGAATTATTTCCCGGTCAATCTAGTAGATGGAAGGAAAAAAAGGAAACACACTGCTTTTAACATGGCTGAGAGTTTAGAGCTTTAGATCCTGACACCTAAAGCGCGTCCGTCTGGACACGGCCTCGCCTGCGGGTTGTCTGCAGAGCCCGAGCTCCAGAGGCGCTGAAAGCCGCCGGCAAAGCGGTGCGGGCCGCGGGCCCTGGAGGCCTGGGAGCGAAGGGGACGCGGGTGGAGGAGGCGAGGGCTGAGAGAAGGACTTCTATTTCCCCATTTTCCAAGTTTTCTGTAAAAGAGCATGAATTGTGCCTTTATTTTTATTTTTAATTTATTTTTTTTGGTAAAGGAACAGAGCCGGTTTGGTGATTCAACTGCGGCTTGCACAATGCCTCAGAAGTGCCCTGCGCAGTGGCTCACGCCTGTAATCCCAGCACTTGGGGAGGTCGAGGCAGGTAGATCACGAGGTCAGGAGTTCGAGATCAGCCTGGCCAACAAGGCGAAACCCCATCTCTACGATGAATACAAAAATCAGCTGGGTGTGGTGGCAGGCGCCTGTGATGCCAGCTACTCCATATCCAGCAGTCTGAGCAACAGAGACTCCATCTCAAAAACAAAACACCTGTAATCCCAGCACTTTGGGAGGCCAGGTCAGATCACGAGGTCAAGGGTTCAAGACAAGCCTGGCCTACGTGGTGAAACCCCATCTCTACTAAAATACAAAAATTAGCTGGGAGTGCTGGTGCACACCTGTAATCCTAGGTACTCGGGAGGCAGAGGCAGGAGAATTGCTCGAACCAGGGAGAAAGAGGTTGCAGTGAGCCGAGATTGCGCCACTGCGCTCCAGTCTGGGCAACAGAGCAAGACTCCATCTGAAAAAAAAAAAAAAAAAAGGAAACAAAAAAAACCTCAGAAGTGAGGTGGCTCATAAAGTGGGGTCGAGGCAAGCCATTTGTTTTCCATCTGTATTTGGGTGATCAGCGTCTAGACCTGTGTTTTGCAGGCAGCTGGTAGCAGATTTTTATTGAGTTAAGAAATAAGTGTAGAAAACTGAGACACATGTTTTTAAGGCTCTGTTTTGTTAAAAAGTGTTGTTTAGCACTTGTGCTCTGGGCCAGCATGCAAAATATGGTTTGTTTGTTGTTGTTTTTTTATCGCCCAGGCTGGAGTGCAGTGGCCTCCGGTGCAGGATCATAACTCACTGCAGCCACCATTCCTGGGCTCAAGGGACCCTTCTGCCTCGGCCTCCCAAGTAGCTGGGGCTACAGCTGTGAGCCACCATGCGTGCCTAATTCTTTGTTTTTTGTAGAGACAGCGTCTTGTCATGTTGCCCAGGCTGGTCTTGAACTCCTGGACTAAAGCAGTCCTCCTCCCTCGGTCTCCCAAGTAGCTGGAGCTACAGGCGTGATCCACCACACGTGGCCTATAATGTATCTCTTCAGTCAAAACTGGTTGCAGGTTGGGGCAGGAATTGGCCTGGAAGGAGCATGAGGGAATTTTCTAGGGTGACAGAAATGGTCTATATCATGACGGGTTACATAGGTGTATGAATTTATCAAAATCCAAGAGTATATTAAGATTTGTGTATTTCATGGTATGAGGCTGAAAGCCAAATCATGAGCAACTACTGAACTCTACTCAGTGACATGCATGGAGAAGTGTTAGGGATGGCAAGTGCCTGACACTCTGAAGTACCTCAAATAAGATGGATAGAAATGTGATAAGAGCAGGCCAGGCACGGTGGCTCATGCCTGTAAACCCCAACAATTTGGGAGGTGGAGGCAGATAGGTCATCTGAGCTCAGGAGTTCAAGACCAGCCTGACCAACATGGCAAAACCTCGTCTCTAGTAAAAATACAAGAATTAGCCAGGCGTGGTGGCAGGTGCCTGTAATCCCAGCTACTTGGGAAGCTGAGGCAGGAGAATTGGTTGAACCTGGGATGCAGAGGTTGTAATGAGCTGAGATCGTGCCACTGCACTCCAGCCTGGGAGACAGAGTGAGACTCCATCTCAAAAAAAAAAAAAAAAAGGCCAGGCGCCATGGCTCACGGCTGTAATCCCATCCTTTTGGAGGCCGGGATGGACACCATTCTGGCCAACATGGTGAAAACTTGTCTCTACTAAAATACAAAAACTTTGCCGGGCATGGCGGTGAGTGCCTGTAATCCCAGCTACTCAGGAGGTTGAGGCAGGAGAATTGCTTGAACCTGGGGGGCGGAGGTTGCAGTGGGCAGAGATCTTGCCACTGCTCTCCAGCCTGGGCGACACATTGACACTCCGTCTCAAAAGAAAAAAAGAAAAGAAAAAGAACAGTACGGAACATTAACATAGAGTCTCAAGGGGTAAGTAAATGAGATTATTTCAGCTTACCTGGATGTTGGAAATTTTTTAAACTAGAACGCCTTGAAAGGGTGTATTTCTCATTGTGGGTTTTGGACAAAGGAGTTTGAAGGACCTGGGACCAGAAAGTCTCCAGCAGGGCCGTTAGCTCATGAAGCACCTTTGTGAAAAACGGCTTGACTGGCGGTGTCAGATTGGTCTCAGCCCCCGCTGCCCCCTTGGCCAGGAGCCTTGTGCATGCCTGAACTTGCACAGCTCTGCACGGCAGCCCTGGATCTTGAGTCTCTTCAGCTGTGATGTTCCATTCTATTAATCAAAGATGGGGATCCTGGCTCTTCTCAAAGTGGGCAGAAAGTGATCTGGGAGTCATAATGGAACACAAGCCAAATGGAAGGCTGCTATGTATGAAAGAAGAATGTGTAAAATTTTAGAGCTGTAATGGGAGCATAAATTAAAGATACAGCCTCTCAGAACCAGCTGCAGTAAGGGGACCTTGTAAATCCTTTGCATCCTAGCGGTTTATCAGTGGGAGGGAGCTGTTGCCTCCCCTGCTGACTTGGTGGCTCCCCACTCTCTCACGTTGAGAGGATAAACAGCTGGTCTCAGAGAGGCATTAGCCACACCTTACCGAGAGCAACTACTCCACCATCTGGCTCCCAGTGCAACTGTGTGGCCCGTCCCTGCCTTCCATAGATAAGCTGATGGGTAGGACGCTGCCGCGGGCCTCCCCAAAGCCTTCAAAAGGCCAAGCCCACTCCAGCATCTCATCTCTCCTGCCACCCAGCAGCCTGAACCACAGGGCACTGCACTGGGCTCCTGGAGCTATGCCGGGGGCCGAAGTTAAGCCCATTGTCCTGAGAAACCCCTAGAGGCCACCTCAGGATGGGGGCCTCCTTCCTGCCTGGCCACCACCTGGCTGCCTGATGTCAGCACAGCAGCACCTGTGGCCACTGTCCTCAAGGGGTGGCTCCCAAGCCTCCTGGGAAAGAAGGGGCCGTGGCAGCATTGCCGTCATCGTGGCCAGCCGTGGGGCTCCACCCAGGGCAGAAGCAGGCTGTGGAATGAGCTGGACCCAGAGGTAGATGCACAGCGGGGCTGCTGAGAGTCCAGGCATGAATGTAGCTTGGGTCTGGCTTTCATGGGGAGAGGGACCAGGCTGCAGAAGTGTCGGGAGCTGGGAGGCTGAGGGTGGGGCTGGTGTTCACTGCTCACGCCCAGCAGGTGGGAAGGGGCACCCAGTGCAGCAGGAGCCAGGCCCAGCCTGAGTGCAATGGCCCATGTCCATTATGGTGGCTCAGGGACCAGCCATGGCAACTGTTGAGTATTCTCAATGTCCCCGTTGGGGAGTAGGCCATTCAGGACTTGAGCTTTGTGGGGGTTCTCTGAAAATTGCCTTGTTCACCTGCAGCGATGGGGTTCATTCAGCATTTGTGCTGTGTGGTCCCACCTCCCGGTCACAGCTGATTGGGTGAGAGGTGCACAGCTGAGCCGATCAGATCTGTCCTGGGACTGGAGACTGTGTGCTGCCTGTCACCTTGGTGTGAAGACAGAGCCAGCCAGCCCCAGCAGCCAGCCCACATGGCTTTAACTAGGTTCCAGTTAGGTCTCTTGGGAGGCCTGCCAACCCTCCATGCTGCCCTGGATTTTAATGAAGGCGGCTATTCTTCCATGTGTTTGCCTCTTTTGCCTGAAGTGCCCCTGAGTGCTTTCTAGCTCTTCTAACCCAAGGTGCTGTAGTTTAAGCCTGGTCACAAGGGTGGAGCCGTAGGAAGCTGCATTGGTAGAAACAGAGTCTGGGCCGGGTACGGTGGCTCACGCCTGTAATCCCAGGAGTTCAAGACCATCCTAGCCAATGTGGCGAAACCCCATCTCTACTAAAAATACAAAAATTAGCCATGCGTGCTGGCGTGTACCTGTAATCCCATGTACTCGGGAGGCTGAGGCAGGAGAATTACTTGAACCTGTTAGGCGGAGGTTGCAGTGAGCCGAGATCGCACAATGGCATTCCAGCCTGGGTGGCAGAGCAAGACTCTGTCTCAAAAAAAAAAAAAAAAATGTAATTGAAGTAAAGGCTGAGCATGTTGGCCATGCCTCTAATCCCAGCACTTTGGGAGGCCAAGGTAGGAGGATCACTTGAGTCCAGGAGTTAAAGGCTGCAGGGAGCTGTGACAGTGCCACTGTGCTCCAGCCCAGACCAGAGACACAGCGAGACCTTGTCTGGAAAGAAAAGACGCTTTCGGGAGAATGAGTGGAGCTGTACCAATGACAAGAAATGGCAGATGGGCGGTGCCCTCAGCTCACCCTCTAGAGCGGCAGTGCTCCCCCAGAAGGAAGGTCCAGCT